TCGAAGTGAGAAGATCAGTAAATAGATACTTTTAAATAGTACAATTTTCATCTGAAACATTTTTTTCTAAAATACATTGTTTGTCAAATATTCGCCTGTTTCCGGATTTTTGACCTAATCTGTACGCCTCTCTTCATTATCTCTACTTTCACACACGCAAAAATATGCCAGCTGTCCTAGATAGGAACGCTTTTTCAAAAATAATATGGTTACTACAACAGGTAGCTTGTCTGTAATTATACAATGATTAGACACTTAATTTTTGGCAAATTGCCCCCACTGCTAAATTAAGTCAAACATAAATTGTAACATAGTTGTATAAGCGTGGCGAATGTCGGACGAAGGAAACTCAGGATCTCACAGCTGGACTCTTGACCACCGTGCTATCCAGGACCTACGACCCGAGATTTTTTTTCGTATACTACAGCTTTTTGGTCGGCCGGTCAACAAAATATTTTTGTTTCCGAACAGTTCGTTTACCTGAACTGTCACTTTTAGATTTCACGCAGTCATTGGACATAGCTTATACAGAGACGCGTAAAATCAGCAATAAATGTGTAGCAAACGTATTTATTACATGAAGTAGAACTACGCATGTAAAGCTTGCTTTAATAATGGACGCACGTGTATTGTAAAAAAAATATTTTTTCTATAAAAATTAATATATAATATATATATATATGTATGGAAATAAATATATAATATAAATATATATACAGGGTGTTCCATAAGAAATTGCTGAAACTAATCAGCTGTCATATATATATATATAATATAAATATTTTTCTATAGAAATAAATAAATATATATATATATACATATATATATATTATATATTTATTATAGAAAAAATATATTAAATAAAGTTCGGAAACTGTCGAATGTTTCATCAACGATGCACTTTAGAAAAAAATATTTCAGACAAAAGTTATAATGTTTTAACAGACGCATTCAACGGCGGTACATGCAGAAAGAATATATTAAATAAATATTAAATAGTGAACTTCTTGTCTCTCGACCAAACTGGCAGATGTATTTGTTAATTACAATCACGTTTCGACCATTGTTTTTAGGTCCTTATCAAGTGATAAAACGTAATATATATTTGTAATTACGTAATATAATTGTAATTACGTTTTATCACTTGATAAAGACCTAAAAATAATGGTCGAAACGTTGTGATTGTAATTAACAAATATATCTGCCAGTTTGAACAAGAAACAAAGAATGAACTCGAGTTCACTATTTTTTATTCTATCAGTAGTGAGTGTCAATATCCATGCACATATATACTAATTAAATAAATATATTTTTTCTATAGAAATAAATATATATAATATACATATTATATAATTATTTCTATACCAAAAATATATTTATTTAATGTACGTGCGTCCATTATTAAAGCAAGCTGTAGTTCCACTTCATGTAATAAACACATTTATTGCTATGCATTTATTGCTGATGTTACACGTCTCTGTAAGCTATGTCCAACAACTGCGTCAAATCTAAAAGTGACAATTCAGGTGAACGAACTATTCGGAAACAATACAAAAGAAAGTTATTTCATTTTATATAACAAATATTTCAAGTATTATGTTATTAAATGTAAAATATATATATATATATATATATTATTTATTTATTTCCGCAAATAATATTTATTCAATAAATGTATACACCTCAAGTTTTATATGTAGTTAAAATTTTATACGATGAATAGTTTCGTAAAGCAATTGTTACTGATCTTACACAACTCTGCAAACAATTTTCAATGACTGCGTGAAATTTTAAAGTGACAGTTCAAGTAAACGACCTATTCGGAAACAAAAATACGTTGCTGACCGGTCGACCAAGAAGCTTAAGTATACGAAAAAAATATCTCAGTTCGTAGGTCCAGCATAGCACCGTGGTCAAGGGTCCAGCATCGAAAATGGAGATCCCGAGTTCGAGTCCCGAGTCAGCCGCCTTTGTCCGACGTTCGCCACGCATACGAGTATGTTACAATTTATGTTTGACTTAGTTTAGCCGTGGGGTACGTCGAAGCACGAGCACCCCACACTACCAAAAATTATGCGCCTAAACTATATTGTATATAGTCACAGTCAAACAGTCCTAGTGACGATTGACTGGGGGAACCGCCTTCTTGATCACGGTAACCCCGACGCGTCTCATTGTAACCAAATTTTTGAAATAGCGTTCTTATATATGACTGCTGGTGTATTTTGCTCACGGAAATCACTTCTCGGTCCTCGCCATCTGTTGGGGAAAAGTAGATATAAAAATCCAAACACGCACACGTACATACACAAACACAGGTTTATATATATACACACATATAAATATACAAATATATGTCTCTTTGAATTATATTTTTGTTTCCACAAGAGACGGCGATAAGCATGAAGTGATTTCTCGTAAGCAAAAATAAATCAGCTGTTCGATAAACCCTATTTCAAAAATATGTTCGTATTCGACTTAGAAACACGTATCGAGGAACCGTGATTCGCTCGTGTGACTGTTTGTCTGTAACTATGTAACATAGTTAGACACAATTTTTCGGCCATACTGAGGAGTCTTGCGCAACAGAAACTCCTTACAGAAATTAAAACAAACATAAATTGTAATTTGTAACATTGTAACACTGAAAATAATTTACAGACGTGTAAAATCAGCAACATGCATTATGGAACATATTTATCATATGAAATGAAACTACATATAAGACTTGAGATGCACTTCTGTTGCATAAATCGAAAAGATTCGAAAATACGCAAAATATTGCTTTACCGAAATATAATTTATAACGGATAAAAATTTATTTTATTTTTCATAATTATATTTCTTATCAGAACAGATTTGTCTGACTTCGTTAAACGAGTTTATATACTTAATATTATTATTAATGAAAGTAATAAGTATAAGGTAAGTAAAAATCCGGTATTTTATTTTATTTTTCATAATTATATTTCTTATCAGAACAGATTTGTCTGACTTTGTTAAACAAGTTCATATACTTAATATTATTATTAATGAAAGTAATAAGTATAAGGTAAGTAAAAATCCGGTATATTTATGGGAGTAAAATTTTGCATACGAGATGCATACGTATAATTATATATACAAGTATAAACAAATTGTCATTGAAATAAATAAAAAAGCCCATCATTAATCTGCAATAATGTTGTCTTGCGATGCACTTAATCTTCCTTTGATCGAACGGAAATTAGATTAGCCACTGATTGCTGCTTAAAGGCGCGCCAATAATAAACACGCCCTGAAAGCACGCATTACTTTGGATGCCGTCCGACACATTAATTTCTCTCGATTAGCTTTTGAATAGCACGACACGGCAATGGCGTGAATGTACATGCGAAATAAAATCCTCGACATTAAATAGTCGGTCGGCACTCGGCATATGCGGTTCTGATATATTATTATATATATATATATATATATATATATATATATAACGCCTCGTAATTAAATTTAGTTTACAATGTCAAGGCGTTAACTCATTTCTGCGAATTCTTAAGAAAAAAAAATAATTACCGTAGCTGAATTTTACGATAATTATATAATATTTGCTATTGTATATAACTATAATATTTTTAAGGCATAATTTTAATAGAAAATTTCCTATTAAATTATAATTAAAAATATGAATTACCTAGCTAAAATTTTGACAGATGCATCTGTCAAAATTAAATGGTAATTAAATTTCAATTGTAATGTAAGAGCATCTAAATTTTGACTATTTGAATTTTTTTAACTATTTTTTCGGTACATTTTTAATATTTAAAGTTGCTTCAGATGGAAATGAAATTAAAGAGCGATAGCAGGTCTCCGGCAAAGTTTCGTTTCCTTCGATCACAAAACGCGGTGAAATCTGTTTTTCTTTTTTCCGTCTTGAAAGTCCCCGACGATAATAAATTGCATGCTATCAGGAACGTACACGTGGTGCACCGGAAATTCTTTTTATTCGCCGTGACTATATATATATATATATATATATATATATATATATATATATATAGTATATATATATATATATATTATTATTTATTATTTTATAATGTAATATATGTATTATATATTATTTTACTTGCTAAATATATGGAGAATATTTTTTGTGAACCTCAAATCATTCAATTTATACTTTTCTATTTTAAAAATCCGTTTTTATAAGAAGATAGGACAAAGGGACGAATTAAGAATGGGCTTAAACAAACAAGTTGAAGGAAGATAATTAGTCGGCGAGATAATTTACAAAAAAAAAATTTTTTTTGCGCATCTCCGATATTTTCGTAATCTAATTAAGTATTATTTGTAACAAGAAGAGGAAGAGAGAGATATGAAATTATAATAGCTTCAACTTCTGGCGCAATTACACTTATGTGAGTTTTGAGCGCTTTAAGAGACGAAATTGTATTTTTTTAGCTGCGTATTTCGACATTTAGAAGATAAACCACCTCCTTAAAAAAATCAGTTTTTTTTATTTCTAAGCTAATACCAACGGTAAAAGATATAAAAAGTGTTTCAAATAAAAGTTATATGGTTTGAAATGCTTATGGTTTTTATTCGTTACAAACATGATGATTGTGAAAGAAATGTTTTATACAAAGAGATTTTTTTTGTTGATTTTCCTTGATTGGCTCTACTTTTTTTACTTGAAACATATTTTCTTATTTTTAATTTACATAAATGTAAATTATTTATTGTTACACAATTGTTCTACAATATTTAAATATATAAAAGATAAAGATTTTAATGTCTAAATTTTAATTACTTTTTATATTTAAATTTTTATATTTATAAATATATAAATTGTTATAAATTTAATTATCAAATATATATATATACATATATATTTATTTATATAATTATAAATTATCAAATATAATATACATACAATAGATTGTAATATATAAATTTTTTATCGATAATTCATTCTTCTTGGCAGATATCGAAGGAAAGACGATTATCGAGTGTCTGTCAGATACTGTCATTTCTAGTTTATTTCTGATAAATGCGTTGTTGGAATACAACTTGGAATTTTATTCCGAAAGTCTGATCAAGTCATATTTTAAAACGACACAATATCTGCAAAAATATTATAAATGCGTAAAGACTAGGTATAAATTAATGTAAAAATTTTTTAAATTACATTTATTTTAAATATGAATATTATCTGAATTTTAATCTAGACCGTCGTAAAAGTAGCAGACACAAAACACACACATACACACTTTTGTACCATTCAAAATATTATAATATTTACGATTACTCAATATTTCGCGAACGACTGCAGCATAATCTGGATAATGTTTTTCTAGCATTTTGTTTGGCACATAATGAGTAACTTTAAATTTACAGAAAAATTTTCCAATATCTGGATTATCCCTTTTTAATATATGGTTTATCCATTCTTTGTATGTCGATGTTATAACACCTAAAATAAAAATGTAAAGATAAAAAATTAAGTATCAAATTTATTATACGATGTAACATAAATAATATAAATAAAAATATTACAGAATATAGAAATATAATGTATAATAAAGTATTTAAAATAATAATCGTACATTGTAAAACATAAAACACCAGGTTATATTCATTTAACAACACGTAGTATGGTTGCAATTCCCAATCTTCGATGTTATATTTCTGTATACATTCTTGTTTAATATCGTTGTGAGTACAATATAATCTCTTATATGGAGAGCATGGAATGTGGCCTTTGTTGTGCCACCCAATAATGACACCAGAAGGATATATATATGTATTATCACGCATTTTATACTTATGTGTAACTATCATTCCAATCGCATATTTTAGATTAGGTGATCTTTTTTTCCGAAACGTATCAGGTGCAATACATATTTCCTGAAAAATTAGTATAGTTAATGTTTTCACATAGATTACGTATTTTATATTAATGGAACAATTTGAATTAAAAATAATTATAATTAGTAAAATTTTTTAGTCTTCTTTGAACTAATTTTTTGTTAGCAAAAAACCTATTATTATTTTACTTGAGTTTGCACGGGAACGGCCAAGCACCCAAACCGGCACTGTCTTTCTCGGACTCGATCCTAGGATTTTTTTGCCTATCATTTATATTAGTGGAAAAAATATAATGGCCGAATTCCGTAGAGTGCATATACACGCATTTATTTATAATACGTTACGTTTACTATAGATAATAAGTGCATATGCACTTTACAAAATCTAGTTAATAGTTGCCACTAATAAATATAGATGTATAGGAAAGTATAGAGCTGCTCGTTATATATATGTATTTTTTCCCTTTTTACATTGTATATTTCTTTTATTTATTACACAGAATTTGTATGTTTTTGTTCTGTACACATAGATTGTTTGCGTTAAAAGTATGTTAAAATATTGCGGATTTTGTTAACACAATTATCTATTTTTCACTATTTAAATTGCGCGTAAATCGGTATATAATATATCACATACATTTTTTGTATTGTGCGTCTAAACATGATAAGTCATCATATATTAATTTCAAATTTCTGCTGTGAGAGTTCACTATCAGCAATATCAATAATATTCATCTAATATAAAAATGTATTTATTATTGTACATATCTGTTAAATGTACATATTATTGATATTGAAGAAAAGTTATTTAATTATTAATATATAATATTAAGTATTAACAAATTAATAATATTTTATTAAATGGCTGTCCTTCCTGTACCAAAGTTTATCGTTCAAAAATAATATAAAAGCGATATAATATTTTGTTTTAAATATTTCTTAACACATATATATAATTATATTTTTCATAAAATAAAAATAAAAGCTAAACAAAATTTATTTAATTGTTATTGTTAATAAAAATTTACAATTAAAAAAAGATATCCTAAATCAGTCCATAATAGATCCAAAATCAATAATTGAGCAAGCTCCAAAGCTGGCTATATTTCGGACATTCTGTAGATGTACCAAATTGTGACAAATGTCCAACTAATGGACGTTCATCGAATGTCCGATAGACCTTATTTTTGGATTGATTAAGAATATCTCAATGTCTAAGAACGAATATTCTCCGGACATACATTAGACATTTTTGTGCTGTCTGGGTATAAATATATTAATCTCCGCGAAATTGCCTTTTTCATGGCGAAGTGATAATAATGTGTCACATTACCTATAGAAAAAATTAGTCAACTTAAATACACCACAAAACTTTACTTTATTACACAGGTACGTTGAAATTAAGTCGTGTGGTGGGTCAAGAGACGATGTGTGCCGTTCGAGAATTCAATACATACTAATTCTCCGTGTTAGTATCAAAACGATGTGTACTGTTCGAGCAAAGTGTATATGATATTAAGAATCGAATCGTATATTGAATTTAAATTATCTGTGTCTTTCTGTAAATTTGTGGAGTCTTTATGCATTTTTATAAAGATTATTTCCGCAATATCTCTTTTTATGTAATGCGTTTCTGTAAAATGGAGAGAGATTGCCAGTTAAAATCATATTGGAAAGTTATATATTATACACACGGAAATCAGTGCGCAAAACAAATTCACTCTTTATTCAGTTTTCTAACGTTTCGAACATTTTTGTGGTCATCTTCAGCGAACAATAAAAAACGAGTTACATTTTTGTCTATATGATATGAATTCATGATTGCAAACGCCAGTTGTATGTAAAAATTAAGTATTACCCCTAGCAATCGTAAAACACGGAGTCAATAATTTTAAAAAATTGTCGCAAAACGAATCGCTATTACATCGACAAAAAGCATGCGACGACATTGAGCAATCGGCTTTCGAGAAGTTTATTTGACCGGCATCGAAGAAATTAACGCCGACATTTCTTTCTACACATATATTGTCGCCAAAAGTATAGTGAGATAATATTCGTTCAAACACGCAGAGAGTTTCTCGAAAACTTCGCCACATTCACATAGATTCTTATATAAAAATGACATAACCATTATACAATCAAGCACATTATAATAAATAAAAACGTAGACATTATAATAAAATTTACATATATTTTCTACGAGTTAACGCGTTTGTATTATATTAATATCTGCGAAACAGTTTTTTCATTGATTACAATAAAGCTTATTTTCTCATTTTTTTCCATTCAGAGTATTAAGTAATCTTCAACAATAAGTACCATTAAAAGTCCAACGTATTTTATTCAATATTTCCGGCTTCTGGATAATAATTAATAACGCTTTTGTTGATCATGACGTCTTTGTTCAAGAGGCTATATAATATATGTATATCACTTTTTCTTAAAAATTTGTAATATATTCTTCAAAAAATAGCAATCGTGCCAGCAGTAACATTCGAGCTATAATTATAATCTTACGTTAATAATATTAAACATTGCGCAAAGTGTATTAATAATAATCAGATACAAACTTAGGCACGTAAATATATATCCTATTAAATTCTTTGTAAATCTCAAATCGATTAAATTCTTTTAATAAACAAGTTCTCACTCTTTCTTTCTCTCAGATAGGAGAACTGTTTCTAACGTCGACAATGCGAGGGTAGAATTTTAGGCGAGAAGAGCGGGATGAAAGTGTATGAGCATAGTTATTTAAAAAATAAACAATATTTTTGCTATAAGTAACAGAAAGAGAGAGCGAGGACTGTTTGTGTTTATTGAAAGAGTTTAATTGACTAAGGATTTACAGAGAATTTAAAATAATATATATTTACGTGACTAAGTTTGTATTTGATCATTATTAACACAAATATCGCAATGTTCAATTAATATTTTTAACGTAAGATTATTATTACAGCTCGAATGCTACTCCTGGCACGATTGCTATTTTTGAAAAGTATATTATAAATTTCTGAGAAAGAATGAGATACATATATTATATAGTCTCTTGAACAATTACGTTATGATCAACAAAAGCGTTATTAATTATCATCCAGAAGCCGGAAATATTAAATAAAATACGTTGGACGTTAAATCGACGTCCAATTGACCGATCATTTCTGACTGAGCTTTTTCACTTTCATCCCGCCCTTCTCGCGTAAAATTCTATTCTCGTATTGTCATCGCCAGAAACAGCTCTTCTTACAAGATTCTACGTTCTATCGGCAAATATTTCGTTAATTATTGGCAGGTTCCTGTTGACGCATCTCGATGTTGTCGTCATTCGCCGTCAGCTGCTTCTTCTGCTTGTGCACGCAATACAACCCCACAAACAACACAAAGGGAAACACCGGGATACACGAAACGACGTATATCCAGAATGGTCGAGCTTTCTCTGTCTCCACCTCATGCTGTATAATGGCCAAGCACTCGTCGAACAGCTCATTCGTCCTATTGCTGAATCTCACGTTGGCGCAGTCCTCATTCAGTGTTGCCGGTGTTTCGGGGCAATTGTAAAAATTGTGAGGCTTTATCTTGATCTGCCGCAGCTTCACCCAGGCGATGAATCTCTGACAATCGCAGCTGTTTGCTATAAAATTTATGCTATTCCCGGTCAGATCAAGTTCCTTCAGCGAGCAGAATGGCGCCAGATCCTCGGTGCTGATCGAGGTGATTTTGTTGTTGGACACGTTCAGATCAAAAAGAGTCGGCTGAACGCCTATCTTCGGGATCACGGTTAGCTTGTTGGCGGCCAGCTGCAACAGTTTGAGGGGCGAGGTGACCTTCACCTTGAACACGGAATCGTTAAGATTGTTGTAGCCGAGGTAGAGCGTGTGAAGATACGGCAATTGGAAAAGACTTTTGGGCAGAGTGTTGCAACCATTCAACGTGAGATCCAGCAGCTTCAGGTAAGGCTGATTGGCGAAAGCTGCCTCGTCAATTTCAGTAATGGAATTGTCACCTAGATAGATGTAAGCCAGTTTTTTGTAAGGATGCAGACTGTCCTTCGTCAGTTCTCTCAAATAATTCTCAATAAGATTGAGCATCTAGCAAACAGAAGAAAAATTTTATCAGAAATGAAACGTATACAGAGCGATTTTAATCGATCCACGCGAATATCTTTGAACAATGCAATTTAAAATGCTTTATACGAAATTGTTTGACTTCAAGTTGGGTATAAAATGGTGTCATTGATTTGACCTTGCATAGTCGCTTGAAGATCACATGAAGGTCATCTTCAATATCTTAAATAGAAGTAGTTACAAAAATATGCATTGAAAAATAGGATTTTTATTTAAGTAATTGAAGATGACCTTTAAACGGCTATCGAAGGTCAAATAAATGATATGAAATCTTATATGGAAAATAATTTTTAATAGAAACTTATATTTAATTTTAATATTAAAAGTTTTAATATATTGTTTTTAATTTATAAATCTTAATTTCTCGTATTTAAAAAAAGTGAAACAAAGTTTTGTGGATTTTTGAAACTAACTACGAATTTCTCTATTTTATGCGAATTGCAGATAAGATAAAAAAATCGTCATTATATATACAGAAAATATTCTTTTATAATAGCAAAAACATACGTAACTATTTTTTATTGCAATTTTATGTAAGATATATTTAAACGACTATCTCACCTGTATGTCTACGTTCAAATTTAACGGGATTTTGTGTAATTTCAGTTTGGAACATTGCGCTCCCAGTACCGAGTCAACTTTGCTGTAGTTGCACATCTTCAGCGGCGGCTTCAAGTACATTATTTTCGCGGCTTCCGGTAAACCCAGCACCAGAACATCTAGTACCGTGGCCACGACAAAGCACAATAAGAGGCAGTCGTTAAAGATAAAGATGCTCATATCTGCAACAGAATCAGCGGAAACGTACGCTTATAAACTTTGTCCAAACTTTGAAGCAACCGGATAATTAATCGCTCGCAAAGGTGCAATATTTAAGATTTCCTCTTTACACCGCCACATTATTATTTATGGTATTTTAGTATCACGCAATATCTCTCCATCTTTCTATATGACGTGTCAACTTATATATTTGTAATATAATATATTATATATTATTTTATATTTTATATATATTTAATATTATATATTATCAAGGACAGCGAAAATAAACAATCAGAAATCTGGCTACGATTTCAGTGTTTATTGCTGATACCGACAATTTCGGTCAATTGTCTGTAATTTATACATCTAAATTAAATATGAAAATATGACAATTAGAGATAAAATTTGATAGTAAAAAATAAAATACTAATACACGTCTGTAGTATTACACATATATCGCGATAAATCTAAGCGTGTGTAGAATGAACATTACAATCAATCTAAATAAAAATAATATGAATTTCTGTGACAGTATAATAAAGTATAGAACATTGAAATTGTATACCGCCATACAAGATACAAAATAAACGAAAAATATGAAAAGTGAGCAAAAATGATCGTGCGCGTATGATAAATAAAGGCTAGGCATTATAGTAGTTATAAAAGCGAAGTGATGAAAAATGTGTTACGTTACCTTCAGTAAATTATATAACTTAATCACACTACAAAAATTTACTTTATTACACAGGTACGTCTATAAAATAAGTTGTCACAGTGTATTGTCACAGGTAAGTCGAGAAACGATGTGTGCCTTTCGAAAATTCAATACATACTAATTCTCCGTGTTAATATCAAAACAATAACAGTGACCTAGAGAGGTATACTGTTTGGCCGAAGTGTACATGATATTAAGAATCGAATCGTATATTGAATTTGAAATGTTTGTATCTTTCTGTAAATTTATCTTTTTGCATTTTTATAAAGATTATTTCCGTAATATCTCTTCGCATGTAATGCGTTTTAATAAAATAGAAAGAAATTGCCAGTTAAAATGATAATAGATAGTTATATATATTATACATACGGAAATCACTGCGCAAAACATTAACTCTTTATTTAATTTTGAGTTATCTTCATGTGTGCAGGACTCTCTTCCACGCACCGGTTACACAAAATATCGGCTTCGCCTCGTGCGCCAAACTTCTGCACTCTCGACCGATTTACGATCTTCCGCACTTGTTAGCTAATATACTATTAAATAAGCAAATTTAAAAAAAAGTTAAATTAGGGAAATTTTTCCAATTGCCCGTGCTTGTAACGTTCATTTATACGCGCAACTCCGATATTTTCGTAGTCTGATTAAGTATTGTTTGAAAGAAGAAAAAACGAGATAGATAGGCTATTATGGAATCATAATAGCTTCAACTTCTGACGCAATTACAATTATGTGCGTTTTGAGCACTCTCGAAGAGACGGAATCGTATTTTTTATCTGCGTTTCTTTTTGTAGTTGCGTATTTCGACATTTAGGTGGTGAACTACTTTTCTAAAAAAAAATCAGTTTTTTATGTTTGAGCTAATACCATCGAAACAATAAAAAATATAAAAAATGTATTAAATAAACTTAATATGGTTTGTAATGCTTATAATTTTTATTTTTTACAACATGATGCTCGTAAAAGAAATGTTTTATACAAAGAAATCTTTCTTGATGATTTTCTTTTATTTTTTTTTACTTGAAACATATTTTCTCATTTTTAATTTCCTTATATATGTAAATTATTTATTGTTACACAATTGTTCTACAATGTATAAAAGATATTTATAATTTATATATATATATATATATATATTCAAATATATAAATTTTAAGAATAAAATTAGAATTTGTATGTTTTTGTTCTGTACACATAAATTGTTGCGTTAAAAGTATGTTAAAATATTGCGGATTTTTTTAATACAATTATTTATTATTTACTATTCAAATCGCGCGCAGCAGCTTTGCAGAGATTAATATATTTATACCCAGATAGCACAAGAATAACTAATGTATGTTCAGTGAACACTTTTCAAAAATTTGTAATACAGTTTTCTAAAAATGGCAATCGCGCCAGAAGCAGCATTCAAGCTATTATAATAATTTTACGCTTATTGAACATTGCGCGATGTTTGCTATAAGTAAGAAAACGAGAGAAGAAGAGCAAGAACTGTCGTATTTGTGTGTATTGAAAAAGTTTAATTGACTCAGGATTCACAGAGCATTTAATCGAATATATATTTACGAGAAATAAACGATGTTTTTGTGTAATCGAAGAGCTGGTTCACTAATTACAGTCAAGTTGCTGTTGATGCAGCTAGATGTTGTATTTGTTCGCTATCAACTTCTCCATTTGGCGCAGTTCTGTTCACTAAAGAAGTTCGAGCTAACCAGGAATAGCATCAGATCCAACGTGGGCAGCTGCGATTGTCAGACGTTCAACGTCTGGGTGAAGCTACGAAAAATCAAAATGAAGTCCGACAATCTTTACAATTACACCGATTCATCTACAACTCTGCACGAGGACTGCACCAATGTGAAATTCAGCAATCGGACGTATGAGCTATTCAACGAGTGCTCGGCCATGATACAGTGTAAGATGAAGACCGAGAAGGCTCGATCGGTCTGGATATACGTCGCCTCGTGCATCTCGGTGTTCCTCTTCATGGTGTTCGTAGCGTTGTTTTGCGTGCACAAAGGGAACCGGAGACAGCGCAAGAATCGTTTAAGCACACTACCCAAGAGTCGTCCTCAAATGCCATATCTGCGCACGTTCGATCTCGACGATAACCTCCTCATCAATTCCGCGTTTAAGATGAAGGTCACTTCGCCTCTCAGACTGCTGCAGCTGGCCGAGAACGAGCTAACCGTGATTCCAAACATAGGCGTTCAGCCGACCCTTCTTGATTTAAACGTGTCTAACAACATCATTTCGATCAGCACCGACGATCTGGAGCTTTTCTGTTTGCTAAAGGAGCTTGATCTGACCGGGAATAACATAAGTTTTAAGGCGGTTAGCTGCAATTGTCAGACGTTCAACGCCTAGGTAAAGCTATGACAAATCAAAATGAAGTCGGACAATCTCCACAATTACACCGATTGACCTACAGTTCTTTACAAGAACGAGCACCAATGTGGAATTCAGCAATCGAACGTATGAACTGTTCGACTCGTTGTAACGAGTGTTCTACAATAATACAGTATAAGATGGAGACCGAAAAGGCTTGATCGGTCTAAATAAGCATCGTCCACTTTATTTCGAGGTTTTTCTTTGTGGTCTGCGTGGCGTTATTTTGCGTGCAAAACAACGCCATGAAGACCACGAAAAGGAGCACTGTGACGCATAAGGCAACGCTTATCCAAACCGATCAAGCTTTCTCGGTCTTTATCTCCTGCTGTATGATACGCTGAGCACTCGTTAAACAGCTTGTACGCTTAATTGCTGAAACTCACGTTGAGACAGTTCTTGTTCAGAGCTGGTGGTGCATCGGTGTAGTTTTAAAGATAGTCGGGCTTCATCTTGATCCGCCGCATCTTAACCCAGACGTTGAACGTCTGACAATTGCAGCTGCCCCAGTTGAATCTGATGCTATTTCTGGTCAGATCGAGCTCCTTCAGCAAGCAGAATCCTCGGTGCTGATCGATGTAATGAAGTTTTCAGACACGTCGAAATTAAGAAGGGTCGGTTAAACGCGTCTAGTTTGGATTCGCAGTTAGGTTGTTCTTAAACAACTGCAGCAGTCTAAGAGGCAAAGTGGTCTTCATCCTAAACACGAAAGCGGTGAGCAAATTGTCGCCGAGATAGAGCATGCAAAAATACGGCATTTGAAAGATACTTTCGGGTAGTGTGCGTCAAAGATTCTTTGTGAGATCCAGAACCTCCAAGTAGGCTGCTTGGCGAAGACTACCTTTTCAATGTTATGAATGTAATTTTCATCTAGATAAATGAAGGAGGGTCGGCTGGACGTCTATGTTTGGGATCGCAGTTAGCTTGTTCTTGAACAGCTGCAGCAGTCTAAGGGGCAAAGTGGCCTTCATCTTGAACGCGGAATCGATGAGATCGTTGTCGCCGAGATAGAGCGTGTGAAGATACGGCAATTGGAAGATACTTTTGGGCAGTGTGCGTCAAAGATTGTCCGTGAGATCCAGAACCTCCAAGTAAGGCTGATTGACGAAGGCTATTTCTTTGATGTTATGAATGTAATTTTCATTAAGATAAATGAAGACCAGCTTCTTGTAAAAAAGCAAATTTTCGTTTTTTAGTTCTATCACTTGATTTCCGATAATATCCAGCACCTAACAAACAGTGGAGAAACGACAGAATTATCATCAGGGATGAAACGTATAGTATACAGGGTGGGCAATTATAATTGATCCACGCGAATATCTTTTAAACAATGCATTTTAGAATGCTTCAGACAAAAGTTTTTTGACTTCGAGAAGAATATAAGATGACATCATTGGTTTGACATTGGATAGTCGCTTGAATGTCACATGAAGCTTATTTTTATTTTTTTAAATAGGATTAGGTACAAAAATATTCATTAAAAAATAAGGATTTTTATTTATAAAATTGAAGATAATATTTAAACGACTTTCCAAGATCAAATATGTGATATTAAACCTTATATGGAAAATTATTTTTAATGGAAACTTTTATTTAATAATAATATTTAAAGTTTTATTATACTGTTTTTAATTTATAAATCTTAATTTGTCATATTTAAAAAAAAGTAAAACAAAATTTCGTGGATTTTTAGAACTCGTTACGAATCCCTCTAATTTATGCGCGAATTGCAGATAAGATAAAAAATTTGTTAGTATATATGCAGTAAATATTCTTTTATAATGGAAAAAAATACATGACTATTTTTTATTTCAATTTTAAATAAGATATATTTTTGAACAACAATCTCACCTCTATATCCGCCTTCAAATCTAACTGGATTTTGTGCAATTTTAGATTTGAGTAAAATTTATTATATTATTTTTAATTCATAAAACTTAACCAAAGTTAAGTATGTAATATTCAAAAAACGACCAATACTGGACAATAATTTTTTTATTAAAATAAAAGAATTATTGTCCAGTATTGGTCGTTTTTTGAATAATTACATACTTAATTTTGGTTTATTTTATACTGGCGAATTGATTTCTCGCATCAAAATCAATTAAGACATTTTATTTAATCAATTTCATAAAACTTAACTTCCTAATTATTGTCAAAAAATAACCCGGAATATCACGGTTTTTTAGAACACGTTATGAATTTCTTTATTTTATGCGAATTGAATTAGATAAGATTAATAAAAGATCCTCGCGATATATGCAGAAAATATTCTGTTATAATGGCAAAAACATACATGACAATTATTTTATTGCAATTTTAAGTAAGATATATTTAAATGACTCTTTTACCTGTATATTCGCCTTCAAATCTAAAGAGATTTTCCGCAATTTTCGATTGGAGCACTGAGCTTTTAGTATTGAATTAGCTCTGCTGTAGTTGCACATCGTCGGGGACGGATTTTGGTCCACAATTTTCGTGGTTTTTAGTAAACCCAGCATCAGAACATTCGGTACCGTGGCCACGGCGAAGCCTAGTAAGAGGAATCCGTTGAAGGAAAAGATGCTCATGTCTGTAACAAAATCAACGGAAACCTACGCTTATAAATTTTGCCCATACTTTGCCGCAACCAGATAATTAATTGCTCGCGTAGATGCAACATTTAAGATTCCCTCTTTACACCGCCACATTATCATTTATAGTATTTTAGTATCATACAATATCTCTTTATATAACGCTTTAACTTATATATTTGTAATATAATATATCATTTGATATTTTACATATACAGGGTGTCCGGTAACTAACGGACCAATGATTAAGGGCGGATTCTCTGGCTAATTTAGAGACGATTTTTTCTTGGCAAAAATGTTGAGAAGTTAATACTTTTCAAGTTATAAGTGATTGAAAAAAATGGGTTTTTTGAAAAATAAACGTTTTGGAGTTAAAAGTCTAACATAATTACATTCTTCAGTTAATTTCAGGTAGAGTTTACTATAATAAAATTTTAATTTGCGGCTTAGTTATAAAGAGATACAATGACAAATATTGGAAAGTTGTAAAAAATAATGACCTTTTTCGACATTTTCACTCAGGAAAAATCGTTCCCAAATTGACCAAAGAATCCATTTGTAATCGTTGGTCCGTTAGTTATCGGACACCCTGTATATATTTTATTATTATATATTATCAAGGACAGCGAAAGTAAACAACCAAACTGCCTACAATTTAAGTATTTATTGTTGATACCGAAAATTTCGGTCAAGTGTCTGTAATTAATACATCTAAATTAAATACTAAAAATATGACAATCAGGAATAAAAATTGATAGTGAAGAATAAAGTACTAATGCATGACTAAGATATTACACTAAACCTAGAGGTGTGTGGTATGAACATTACGATCAATCTAAATAGAAGTAATATGAATTTCCGTGACAATATAATAAAGTATAGAACATTGAAAACGAAAAGAAACGAAAAGAGAGCGAAAATAATTGTGCGCGTATAATAAATAAAGAGTAGGCACTATAATAGTTATAAAAGCGAAGTGATAAAAATTTGTTACATTACCTTGAGCAAATTATATAACTTAATTACACCATAGAAATTTACTTCATTGTACAGACACGTTTAAAGTAAGTTTTCACTGAGGTGAGTCGAAAGACGATGTGTGCCGTTCGAGAATTCAATATGTACTGATTCTCCGTGTTGGTATCAAAGCAATAACAGTGACCTTAAGAGGTATATTATTTTGGAAGAATGTATATGATATTAGGAATCGAATCGTATATTAAATTCAAAATAGTGTAGAATCACGGGTTTAAATTATGATTCTTTTAATTTATTTTTAATAATCCGTAAACGTTTTTTCAATTAATTAGTTCTCGTTAACAATTTTACACACAAAAAATAGGTAAATTCTCGCGACTCGCGGTATTTTCGGCGAGCTCTTACTCGTACGCGGAAAAAGACGTCTTAACTCGCTCACGGATCTTTTCCTTCTACCTTTGAAGCGCCGGAATATTTTGGTTTAGCGCACGCAGAATTTTCTAGAAGGTCGCCTCGAAATAATAAGCCTAAACGTTCAATTTTGCTCGCAATAACAAGGCTTTGCTAACAGTCGAGACAAATAAGAAATATAAATAAAAGAATACAATAAACGCTCGACAAACAGATCGAAATACACATAAGTACGCGAATACATTTAACGAAAAATTTTAAACTGAAAAATAATTTTATCAAATTCCTACAATAGCTGTGCCGTTCTTTAAATTTATGGAGTATTTATGCGTTTTTATAAAAATTATTTCTGCAATATCTCTTCGCATGTAATACGTTTCTGTAGAATGGAGAGAGATTGCCAGTTAATCATGATTGAAATTTATATATTATATATACGGAAATCAATGCGCAAAACAAATTTTTTATTCAATTTTCGAACGTTTCGACAATTTTTTGTGGTCATCTTTAGTGTATGTACAATTTTTTCCATTCAAAGTCTAAAGTAATTTCTAACAAGTACCATTAAAAATCCAACGTATTTTATTCGATATTTCCGGTTTCTGGATGATAATTGATAACACTTTTTTTTATCATAACGTCTTTGTTCAAGAGACTATAAAATATGTGTATCTCACTCCTCTCAGAAATTTGTAATATATATTTCAAGAAATAACAATCGTGCCAGGAAAATTATTCGAACTATTATAATAATCTTATGTTCATTGAAAATTGCGCGATATATACAATATTAATGATGATCAGATACAAACTTAGGCACGTAAATATATATCCGATTAAATTTTCTGTGAATCCACTGTCGATTAAACTCTTTCAATAAACACCAACAGTTCTCGCTCTTTTTTTCTCTTTCTTATACTCGTACATTGTGTAGATTTTCAATCCTACTCGTATTTTTTGGCACTAAACACAGAGTCGGTAATAAATTGTTAAATGAGTATTTAAACGCCTATACAAAGATATCATAAATAAAATGATTTTTGCGGAACATGTTGTGGGATAAATAATTTTTTTTCTAACTTAAAAGGTTCCAAAACATACCGCTATGCTTGTAGTTTTTTAAATTAGACGTCAAAAAGGCCACAATGGGTCTCTATACGAATATATGTACGTATATATGTAAATATCTTGTTGAACAGAACTATTCCGGGCCCAATTTATTAACAATAATTTATATTAATTATATTAATTATATTAATATAATTTATCTTAATTATATTAATATAATTTATATTAATTATATTAATATAATTAATATTAATTTATATATTTATATTAATTTATATTTTAATTATAAATTTTTTCTGTCGTAAATAATCTAAGAGTATGTAACCCTACTCGTAAAATTCTATTCTCGCAAAAATTCTACTCTCGCATATTGTCGACGCCAGAAACAGCTCTTTTAACAGGATTCTACGTTCTATCATCGATTAGATTATTTCACTAATCATCGTCAGGTTGCTGTTGGATGGTTTGGTGTTGTCGTAGATCACTGTTAGCTGCTCATCCTGTTCCATGTGCCGCCTACGGTACCGCTTGTGCAAGCAAAACAACGCCACAAACACCACAAAGAGGAACACCAAAACGCACGGAGCGACGTTTATCCATACCGATCGAGGTGTCTCGGGCTCCATCTTCTGCTGTATCATGGCCAAACACTCGTTGAACAGTTCGTACGTCCAATAGCTGAATTTCACTTTGGCGCAGTCCTTGTTTAGAGCTGCTGGTGGATCGATGCATTTGTAGAGATCGGGCTTTATCTTGATCTGTCGTAGCTTCACCCAGGCGTTGAACCTCTGACAATCGCAGCTGCTCGCGTTGAATCTGATTCTATTTCCGGTCAGATCGAGCTCTTTCAGCGAGCAGTAGGGCGCCAGATCCTCGGTGCTGATCGAGGTGATTCTGTTGTAGGACACGTTGAGATTAAGGAGGGTCGGCTGGATGCCTATGTTCGGGATCACGGTGAGCAAATTCTCGCTCAGCTCCAGCAGTCTGAGAGGCGAGGTGACCTTCATCTCGAACACTAAATCGGTAAGTCTGTTATTGCCGAGATAGAGCGTGCGAAAATGTGGCAATTGGAAGAGACTTTTGGGGAGAGTGTAGCAAAGATTTTGCGACAGATCCAGCACCTCCAAGTAAAGTTGATTGGCAAAAGCTGTTTCTTCGATTAAACGGATGATATTCTCAGGTAGATAGATGAAGGCCAGTTTCTTGTAAGAACGCAGACTGGCATTACTCAATCTTAGAATTTTACTCTTGGTAATATTCAACACCTAGCAAACAAAGGAGTAACATTATCAGGAGTGTTATCAGGGATAAAACGTATATAGAATGAGCGATTTTAATATATCCACTCGAATATCTGTTGAACAATGCATTTTAGAATGCTTTATACAAAAGTTTTTTTACTTTAAGGGGAATATAAGATTCGAGCAAATTTTATTAGAATATTATTTGTAACTTATAAATCATAATTTCATAATTACTGTAAAAAAACAGTGTCTCACGGATTTCTAGAACTCGTTATAAATCTCTTTATTTTATGCAAATTGCAAATAAGATAAAAAAATTGTCGCTATATATGCAAAAATATTTGTTTATAATGGTAAAAAATACATGACTGTTTTTTTATTGTACTTTTGAGTAAGATGTATTTAAACGACAATCTCACCTATATGTTCGCTTTCTAATCTAATGAGATTTCGTGCAATGCTAGATTTGAGCAAGTATTATAATATTAATTATAATTTATATATCATAATTTTATAATAATTGTAAAAAAAGAAAAAATAAAATTAAGTCTCATGGATTTTTATAACTCGTTACAAATTCTTCTACTTTATGCGAATTGTAAATAAAATTAAAAAAAGATCCTAGCAAAATATATGTATGCAGAAAATATTCTTTTATAATGTCAAAAATATACATGACAATTATTTTATCGCAATTTTAAGTAAAATATATTTAAACGACAATCTAACCTGTATGTCCGGATTCAAATCTAACGGGATTTCGTACAATTGGGAGCATCGGGCTTCCAATACCGAATTAACTCTGTTGTAGCAGCACGTATTCGGAAGCGGATTCTGGTCCATTGTTTCCGCGCATTTTGATGAACCCAGCACCAGAACATCCGGTACTGTGGCTACGACGAAGCCCAGTAAAAGAAACCCGTTGAAGAGAAAAATTCTCATATCTGCAACAGAATCAGCGCAAAAGTACGATTATAAATTTTGCCCAAACTTTGCCGCAACCGGATAATTAATCGCTTGCGAAAATGCAACATTTAAGATTCCCTCTTTACACCGCCACATTATTATTTATGGTATTTTAGTATCACGCAATATCTCTCTATCTGTCTCTCTCTATTACATTTTAAATTACAATATATATTTGTAATATAATATATTATATATTATTTGATATTTTATATATATTTTATTATTATATATTATCAAGGACAGCGAAAGTAGACGAACAAACGGCTACCATTTAGGTGTTTATTGTTGACACCGACAATTTCAGTCAAGTGTCTGTAATTAATACATCTAAATTAAATACAAAAAATATGACAATCTGAAATAAAAATTGATAGTAAAAAATAAAGTACTAATACACAACTAAAGTATTAAACATAAATCGCGATAAATCTAGGTGTGTGTGGTATAAAAATTATAATCAATCTAATTAAAAATGATATGAATTTTCGTGACAATATAATAAAGTATCAAACATTGAAATTGTATAACGGCATATAAGATACAAAATAAACAAAAAGAAACAAAAAGGGAACGGAAATGATCGTGCGTCTATGATATATAAAGAGTAGACACTATAATAGATATGAAAGCGAAATGATAAAAATAAACGAAAAGAAACGACGCGCGTATGATAAATAAAGAGTAAACACTATAGTAGTTATAAAAGCAAAGGGAACGAAATGTGTCATACATTATCTATAATAAATTAGATAACTTAAACTCATCACAGAACTTTATTTTATTGTACAGGCACGTTTAAAATAAATCGTTTTACTGTGATGCGCCATTGAAAGACGATGTGTGCCAATCGAGTATTCTATAAGTACTAAACTTTATATGATATTAAAAATCAAATGGTATATTGAATTTAAATTGTCTGTGTCTTTATAAAGATCATTTCCGGAATCTCTTATCTCTTGTAATGCGTTTCTGTATGTAAAATGGAGGGATATTACCAGTTAAAATCATGATTGAATGTATATAATATTATATATATAAGTTATATATATAATATAATTATATATATATATATATAAGATTATATATTAAATATTTTATATATTATTTTATAATGTATTAAATGTATTATATATTATTTTACAGTTAAATATATCGAGAATATTTTTTATGAACCCCAAATCATTCAATCGATATATTCCTATTTTAAAAATCTGTTTTTATAAAAAGATAGGAAAAAAGGAACAAAATGAGAATGGGCTTAAATAAGTAAGTTAAAGGAACTTAATTAGCCGGCGAGATAATTTGAAAAAAAAATTTTTCGCGCAACTCCGATACTTCTATAGTCTATTTAAGTATCATTTGAAGAGAGAGAGAGAGAGAGAGAGAGAGAGAGAGAGAGAGAGAGAAACCATTATAGAATCATAATAGCTTCAGCTTCTGAGGCAATTACATTTATGTGAGTTTCTATCGCTTTTGGAAAAACGGAATCGTATTTTTTTAGCTGCGTATTTCGACATTTAGATGTTAACTAAAAAATATCAGTGTTTTAATTTCTGAACTAATACCATCGAAACGGTAAAAGATATAAAATGTGTTTCAAATAAAAGTTATATGGTTTGTAATGCTTATGGTTTTTATTCGTTATAAACATGATGATTATGAACGAAATGTTTTATACAAAGAAATTTTTCTTTTTGATTTTCCTTGATTGGCTCTATTTTTTTTACTTTAAACACATTTTCTCATTCTTAATTTACATATATGTAAATTATTTATTGTTAGACAATTGTTGTACAATATTTAAATATATATAAGATAAAAGTTTTAATATATAAATTTTAATTACTTTTATATGTTTTATATTTATAAATATATAAATCATTATAAATTTAATTATTAAATATATATATACATTTATACAATTATTAATTGTTAAATATAACATATATTCATAAAAACGTAGATATTTGAGAATTGCCAGACAGAATTTAAAAAAGTAAAACTCTTCTCTCGACCGTACTGGCAAATATTATTTATTAAATCACAACCTTCTTTGAGTCCTTAAATAAATAAATAAATAATATATGCCAGTACGGTCGAGAGAAGAGTTTTACTTTTTTATACATACATAAATTGTAATACATAAATTTTTATCGATAATTTATTTTTCCTGTGAAGTTACGAAGGAAAGACTGGTATCACGAGTAGCAAACGTCTAGGAAATAGGAATGAAGCACGTCTAATGACATTTCTAGTTTATTTCTGAAAAAAGCTGGAAAGTTGAAATACAACTTGAAATTTTATTCCAAAAGTCTGATCAAGTCGTATTTTAAAACGACACAATATCTGCAAAAATATTGTGAATTTGAAAAGGCTAGGTATAAATTAATTTAAAAATTTTTTAAATTACATTTATTTTGAAATTATTTAATGTCAGAATATTGCTTCAAATGCTTCAAAAGGCAATTAATTGCGCAAAGTTTTCTAAATCAATTTCTCGCAAAGTATTTACCAAGTTCCTTTTTATGCGATGCGTCCATCAAGTAAAAAACAAAAAAAATTTATATATAGAAAAACTTACCTTTGAGTATATCCTTTAAAATTGCTTGCACGTTTGGTACTAACATTCTCAACGTCAAACTAATAGTTACGTTTTTCAAAATTATTAAAATAATCTCGGTAAGAAAATCCTTTATCGTAACTATTATTTATGCGACAAAAATATATATAATAAACACAAATATAATACAAAAACAATTTGCAGTTTGTATTTTTCTTAATGAATCGATTGATATTCTATTCTACTGACGCAAGAGGTTTAGCGTAACCTATGGACAGCCATAGACTGGGAATGATCAAATGCTTCAGAAAGTGGAAGGGACAAAGATAAAAGTTACAGTATATATTTCTTTTATCTTTTACACATGTTTCCACAACCAGCACTCAGGACCGGCACTGTCTTTCTTGGACTCGATCCTAGAATTTTTTGGTCTAGCATTTATATTAATGGAAAAAATGTAATGGCTGGATTCTGTAAAGTGCATATACACTCATTTACTTATAATACGTTACGTTTACTATAGATAATAAGCGCATATGCACTTTACAAAATTCAGTTAACAGTTGCCACCAATAAATATAGGTGTATAGGAAAGTATAGGGCTGCTCGTTATATATATGTATTTTTTCCCTTTTTACATTGTATATTTCTTTTATTTATTACACAGAATTTGTATGCTTTTGTTCTGTATACATAGATTGTTTGCGTTAAAAGTATGTTAAAATATTGCGGATTTTGTTAACACAATTATCTATTTTTCACTATTTAAATCGCGCGTAAATCGGTATATAATTTATCACATATATTTTTTGTATTGTGCGTCTAAACATGATAAGTCATCATATATTAATTTCAAATTTCTGCTGTGAGAGTTCACTATCAGCAATATCAATAATATTCATCTAATATAAAAATGTATTTTTATATTAGGTGAAATTTATTGATATTGAAGAAAAGTTATTTAACTATTAATATATATAATATTAAGTATTAAAAAATTAATAGTATTCTATTAAATGGCTGTCTTTCCTGTACCAAAGTTTATCGTTCAAAAGTAATATAAAAACTATATAATATTTACTGTTAAATATTTCTTAACACATATATATGATTATATTTTTTATAAAATAAGAATAAAAAAGCTAAACAAAATTTATTTAATTGTTACTTTTAATAAAAATTTACAATTGAAAAAAGATACCCTAAATCAGTCATAATAGATTCAAAATCAATCAATAATTGATCCAAAGCTGGCTATATTTCGAACATCCTGTGAACGGACCAAATTGCGACAAATATACAACTAATGGACGTTCATCGAATACCCGATAGACCTTATTTGAATTGTTTAAGAATATCTCAATGTCCAAGAACGGATATTCTTTGGACAAACATTAGACATCCTTGCACTATCAGAGTACAAATATATTAATCTCCGCGATACTGTCTTTCTCATTTCTGAATGATAATTAATAACGCTTTTATTGATCATACCGTCTGTGTTCAAGAGGTTATATAATATATGTATCTCCAGAAGCCGGAGATGGAGATATTGAAAAAAAAAGTTGGACTTTTAATGGTACTTATTGTTGGAGATAGCTTAATACTACGAATGAAAAAAAATGAGAAAACAGGCTTCAAAGTAATCAATGAAGAAAACAACCCCGCGAAGAATTAATCTACGTATACCAAGATGGCACAAGGATATCTAATGTATGTCCAGCGTACTCTTTCTAAAAAATTTGTAACACATTTTTTTAAAAATGACAACAATGGGTCACATACAAACATTGACACGTAAATATTCGATTAAATGCTCTGTGAATCCTGAATCGATTAAACTTTTCCAATAAACACAAGCACGATAGTTCTCGCTCTTTATTAGCAACTTATTTCTCAAATAAACGATGTTTTGCTATAACTAAAAAAAAGAGAAAGAGAGCAAGAACTGTAGTGTTTGTGTTTATAGAAAGAGTTTAATCGACTCAAAATTCACAGAGCATTTAATCGAATATATATTTAGAAGAGATAAATAATGTTTCTGCCGTCAAAGAGCTGTTTCACTAATTACAGTCAAGTTACTGTCGGTACAGCTCGACGAAATCGTTCGCTATTAGTTCCCCCATCTGCTCTCTACGGTATCGCTTGTACACGTAAAACAACGCCATAAACACCACAAAGAGGAGCACTATAATGCATAAGGCGACGCTTATCCAGACCGCTCCAACTTCCTCGGTCTCTATCTTCTGCGGTATCATGGCCGAGCACTGGTCGAACAGCTCGTACGTCCGATTGCTGAATCTTACGTTGGCGCAAGCCTCGTTCAAAGCTGCCAGTGAAACGGTGCAATCGTAGAGGTTGTTGGGCTTCATCTTGATCTGACGCAACTTTACCCAGGCGATGAACGTCTGACAATCGCAACTGCTCGCGTTGAATCTAATCCTATTCCTGGTCAGATCGAGCTTCTTCAGCGAGCAAAAAGGCGCCAGATCTTCGGTGCTGATCGAGGTGATTTCGTTGTCGGACACGTTGAGATTAAGGAGAGTCGGCTGGACGCCTATGTTTGGGATCGCAGTTAGCTTGTTCTTGAACAGCTGCAGCAGTCTAAGGGGCGAAGTGACCTTCACCTTAAACGCGGAATCGATGAGATCGTTGTCGCCGAGATAGAGCGTACGAAGATACGGCAATTGGAAGATACTTTTGGGCAGTGTAAGGAGAAGGTTCTTCGTGAGATTCAGCACCTTTAAATACGGCTGATTGGCAAAGGCTACCTCGTCAATTTCATGGATGAAATTGTTACCTAGATCAATGTAGGCCAGTTTCTTGTAAGAATGCAGACTTTTATTCGTCAGTACCATCAAATGACTCCCGCTCATATCCAGCACCTAGCAAACAGAGGAGGAAGGTCATCAGAGATGAAACGTATAGTACACAGGCAGGAGTGTCATCAGGGATGAAACGTATAGTATACATGGTGGGCGATTATAATCGATCTAGTGTATTTTTGTGGAACAATGCATTTTAGAATGCTTCATACAAAAGTATTTATTGGAAACTTTTATTTAATGATAATATTTAAAATTTTATTAAATTGTTTTAATTTAAAAATCCTAATTTTTCATATTTAAAAAAAAGTGAGACAAAATTTAGTGGATTTTTAGAACTCGTTACGAATCACTATTTTATGCAAATTGCAGATAAAATAAAAAAATTGTTACTATATATGCAATAAATATTCTTTTATAATGAAAAAAGTACATGTCTACTTTTTTATTTCAATTTTAAGTAAGATGTATTTTTAAACAACAAATTCATCTTTCTATATTCGCCTTCAAATCTAACTGGATTTCGTGCAATTTTAGAACTGAATAAATTTTATTATATTATTTTTTAATTCATAAAACTTAATTTTATAATTATTGTCAAAAAATAACACGGAATCTAACGGATTTTTATAACACGTTATGAATTTCTTTATTTTATGCTAATTGTAGATAAGATTAAAAAAAGATTCTCGCGATATATGCAGATAATATTCTGTTATAATGGCAAAAATATACATGACAATTATTTTATTGCAATTTTAAGTAAGATATATTTAAATGACTCTCTCACCTGTATATTCGCCTTCAAATCTAAAGGGATTTTCCGCAAATTTCGATTGGAGCATCGAGCTTTCAATATTGAATTAGCTCTGCTGTAGTTGCACATCGTCGGGGGCGGATTCTTGTCTACAATTTTTGTGGTTTTTGGTGTACCCAGTACTAGAACATCCAGTACCGTGACCATGGCAAGGCCTAGTAAGAAGAATTCGTTAATGAGAAAGATGCTCATATCTGCAACAGAATCAGCGGAAACATACGCTTATAAATTTTGCCCAAATTTTGCCGCAACCGGATAATTAATCCCTCGCGAAAATGCAATATTTGAGAATCCCTTTTTACACCGCCTCATTATCATTTATAATATTTTAATATTACGCAATACATCCCCATCTCTTTCTATTACTTTTTAATTTATATATTTGTTATATATTATGTTATATTATATTTTATATTTTATATATATTTTATTATTATATATTATCAAGGACAGCAAAAGTAGACGACCAGACTAGCTACAATTCAGGTGTTATTGTTGACACATTCAACTGACTATTCCGGTCAAGTGTCTACACTTAATACACCTAAATTAAATACACAAAATATGACAATTAGTAATAAAAATTGATAATAAAAAATAAAGTATTAAGATATTACAGATATAACGCGATTAACCTAGGCGTGTGTTGTATGAACATTACAATCAATCTAATTAAATATGATATAAATTTTCGTAACAATATAATAAATTATCGAACATTATAATTGTGTACCGGCATGCAAGATACAAAATAAACAAAAAGAAACAAAAAGGGAACGGAAATGATCGTGCGCGTATGATATATAAAGAGTAGACACTATAATAGTTATAAAAGCGAAATGAAAAAAATGTGTCACATTACCTAGAAAAAATTAGTCAACTTAAACACACCACAGAACTTTACTTTATTACACAGGTACGTTGAAATTAAGTCGTGTGGTGAGTCGAGAGACGATGTGTATCGATCGAGAATTCAATACGTACTAAATTCTCTGTGTTGGTATCAAAACAATAGCAGTGACTTAGAGAGGTATATTATTTCGGGGAAAGCGTATATGATATTAAGAATCGAATCGTATATTAAATTTAAATTGTTTGTGTCTTTTTTTAAATTTATGGAACCTTTATACATTTTTATGAAGATCATTTCCACAATATCTCTTCTCTTGTAATGCGTTTCTGTAGAATAAAGGGAGATTGCCAGTTAAAATCATAATGGAAAGTTATATATTATACATACAGAAATCAATGCGCAAAAAAATTTTATTCTGTCTGTCTTATATCTATAAACAATCTTTATTCAATTTTCGATCATTTCGACCATTTTTTGTCGTCATCTTTAGTGTACAATAAAAAACGAGTTACATTCTAATCGATATAAATTCGTGGTTGCAAACGCCAGTTGTATGTAAAAATTAAGTATTACCGCTAACAATCGTAAGATACAGAGTCAATAATTTTAAAAAACGGTCGCAAAACGAATAGCTATTACATCGACAAAAAACACGCGACGACGTTGAGCAATCGGCTTTCGAGAAGTTCATTTGACCGGCATCGAAAAAATTAACGCCGACATTTCTTCCTACATATATCGCCGCCAAGAGTATAGTGAGATAATATTCGTTCAAACACGCAGAGAGTTTCTCGAAAAGTCCGCCACGTTTACATAGATTCTTATATAAAAATATCGTAACCATTATATACGCAAACACAATATAATAATATGTAAAAATTTTTCTTATAAATTAACGCGTTTGTCTTCTTCATTGATTATTTTCGTTATATAAAAAGCCTGCTTTCTCATATTTTTTCTATTTATAGTGATAGACGACAAGACAAGAAATTTCAAGATCTTGTCTCGTCTTGTCTTGATTTTTCAAGACGAAATCACAAATTTTTTGTACTTGATAAAATCGAGACGAGACTAGATTTGTGCTCCAAGATCAAGGCAAGACACGAAAAATCAATCAAGATTCTTGATAACTGAAACTACAATTATTATATACGTAATTTTAATTATTTAATTGTAGTTATATATATATATATATATATATATATATATATATATATAACTACAATTAAAATTTAAAGCTTAAGTAATTATTATTATAGTAATATAATTATTTTTATCAAATAAAAATTTCCTATAATAAAAGACTTCGGTTTTTAGTAAAACTATAAAGTTTATTGCTTTTTAGCAATTTAAATTTTGCATTTAATTATTTAAAATTGAGACTGGACGGGAGGAGCTCAGAGTGATTGTAGTCTTAAATAACCTCGATAATATATATATATATATATATATATATATATATATATATATATATTATCGAGATTATTTAACACTACAATCACTCTGAGCTTCTCCCGATTTTTATTTGATAAAAATAATTATATTACTATAATAATAATTACTTAAGCTTTAAATTTTAATAAAACATTGAAATATAAATATTTATGTAAAATTATGGCAATATTTAGCGACAATACGGCAATACCGTGTCTTTTATTATTTTTGATATTTATATTTATTTTTTATTTTTATCAGCAATACAAAATCTTATGTTTTAATAACATTTCATAAATTTTTTTGTGTTTTTAGTAAACATTTCTCTATCAAAAACATTTTTTCGATAATGTTTATAAAAATGTTCAAAAATAATAAAATCAAGATGTTCTAAATAAATATATATAGATATTATTAAAGTATCAAGAATCTTGCAAGAATCTTGCAAGAATCAAAAATCAAGACAAGAAATTGACTGTCGAGATCAATACATTTTGATTGACAAAAATCAAGACAAGACAAGTATATCCGATTCTTCTCTTGTCTTGTCTTGTCTTGAATCCATCACTATCCATTCAAAGTTTAAAGTAATGTACAACATTAAGTACCATAAAAAGTCCAACGTATTTTATTCGATATCTCCAGCTTCTGGATAATAATTAACAATGCTTTTGTTGATCATGACGTCTTTGTTCAAAAAGCTATATAATATGCCTATATGTGCCTAAGTTTGCATCTGATCATCATTAATACAGATCGCGCAATGTTCAATAAACATTATTAATGTAAGATTATATAATAGCTCGAATACTGCTCCTGGCACGATTGCCATTTTTTGAAAAACATATTACAAATTTCTGAGAAAAAGTGAGATACATATATTATATAGCCTCTTGAACGTTATGATCAACAAAAGCGTTATTAAATATCATCCAGAAGCCAGAAATATCGAATAAAATACGTTGGACTTTAATTCGACGTCCAATTGACAGATTATTTATGACTGAACTCTTATACTTTCATCACGCTTTCTCGCGTAAAATTTTACGTTCTCTCGGCAACCATTTCACTAATTATCATCAGGTTGCAGTTAGAGCAGCTCCGTCTTGTCGTAGATCACAATTAGCTGTTGCTCCTTCTGCTACTTCTGCTCCGTCTGCTACTTCTGCTCCTTCTGCGCCACCTACGGTTCCGCTTGTACGCGCAAAACAACGACACGAAGCTCACGATGACAAACACCAAAGCGCACGGGATGATGTATATCCAGACAGATCGAGACCTCACGGTCTCCTCCTGCTGTTTGACAGGGGAGCACTCGTTGAAGAGCTCGTACGTCCGATCGCTAAATCTCACGTTGGCGCAGGCTCTGCGCTGTGCCGGTGAATCGGTGCATTCGTAGAGATAGTCGGGCTTTATCTTGATCTGTCGTAGCTTTACCCATGCGCTGAACGTCTGACAATCGCAGCTGCCCGCGTTGAATTTGATTCTATTCCTGGTCAAATCGAGCTCCTTCAGCGAGCAGAAAGGCGCCAGATCCTCGGTGCTGATCGAGGTGATTTCGTTGTCGGACAGGTTCAGATTAAGAAGGGTCGGCTGGACGCCTATGTTCGGGATCACGGTTAGCCAGTTCCTGTTCAGCTCCAGCACTCTAAGGGGCGATGTGATCTTCACTTTGAACACGGAATCGGTGAGCATGTTGTGGCCGAGGTAGAGCGAGTGAAGATGCGGCAATTGCAAGAGACTTTTGGGCAGAGTGTTGCAAAAGTTCTGCGACAGATCCAGCACCTGCAGATAAGGTTGATGGGCGAAGGCTGCCTCTTCGATTTCACTGATAAAATTGTCACCTAGATAGATGAAGGCCAGGTTCTTGTAAGGATGGAGACTGTCGTTCTTCAATTTCGTCACTTGATTCCAGGTTAAATGCAGCACCTAGCAAACAGAGAAGAAACGTCAGGAGTGTCATCAGGAATGAAACGCATACCCGGTGGTCAGTTTTAATCGATGCGAATATCTTTTGAATAATGCATTTTAGAATGCTCCATACAAAATTTTTTGACTTCGAGAGGAATATAAAATGGTGTCATTGGCTTGCATAGTCGCTTGAAGGTCACATGAACGTTACCTTCAGTTTTTAAATGGAAGCAGCTAAAAAAATATGCTTTGAAAATTAGGGGTCTCGATTTAAGAAAGTGAAGATGACCTTTAAACGACTATCCATGGTCAAATATATGGTATGAACCTTATGTCGAGAATTATTTTTAATAGGAATTTTTATTTAATAATAATATTAAAAATTTTATTATATTGTTTCTAATTTATAAATCTAAATTTGTTTGAGCGCGAGCACGTTTAATCGGAATCACCCGTTATATTTTTTAAATTTAAAAATCATAATCGGTGGAATTCGAGGTTGCGGGTGTTATCTGTGAGAAAACGCGATCGATTATTTTTTGCAAATTGTTTGGCCTATCCTGAGTACTTGCCAAAAACTCTCCAACGATTACACGGTCCTTTATTAACCTAAACAGCTGACAAGACGAGACAAGCGTTAGGCTTGTTTGTTAACAGAGGACGTTCGTCGACAATCGATGCGTGTGTTCTGTTCTTTCGCTCGAACAGCTGATCGTATATTTTAGAAAACGAAAAGGCGAAAGACGCGCGCGCGACTAATAAAAGATCGGAATTATCTTCTATCTATTTTTAGGCAGATTGTCTTCCATTCCACTCTCGCACAATTTAGCTGGCTTACAATTAGAAAACGGTCCGTCGCTGGTGGCACGAAAAATTAATCGCGTATACGTTATCGCGCCCTGCGTATATATTACATTGAAGTCGCTCGCTTTGAAATTAAAAACTGCATTAAGGCCGCTCGCCTCTTCGCACGCGCTATCGCGATCTCATGTCTTTTTGTATTTTGTATTTTATTTTTTTTTCTGTTAAATAAACGCTTGTAACTTTTTCTTTGTCAGATAATCGTGTGTGAGCGATTTACAGTCCTTCTCTTTCTCTCTCGTTTTCGCGCGGAATATTTTCAATTCGCTCATATTGCTACAAAATTTTTCCCATATTTAAAAAGTGGAACAAAGTTTTATAGATTTTCAAAACTCGTTACAAATCCCCCTATTTTATGCAAATTGCAGATAAGATAAAACATCGTCACTATATATGCAGAAAATATTCTTTCATAATGGAAAAAGAATACACTGACTATTTTTCATTACAATTGTAAGGAAGATATATTTATCCGACAATTTTACCTATATGTCCGCCTTCTAATCTAATGGATTTTGTACATTTCCAGTTTCGAGCAAATTTTATTATAATATTATTTATAACATATAAGTCATAATTTCATAATAATTCTACAAAAACAAAAAATAAAATGGAGTCTCATAAATTTCTACAACTTGTTATAAATTCTTCTATTTTACGCGGCATGTAGATAAGATTAAAAAAAGATCCTCGCGACATATATATGCAGAAAATATTCTTTTATCATGACAATTATTTTATTGCAATTTTAAGTAAAATATATTTAAACGACAATCTCACCTGTATGTCCATCTTCAAATCTAACGGGATCTCGTGCAATTTTAGATTTAAAAGAATTTTAAGTCATTATATATGCAGTAAATATTCTTTTATATTGGAAAAAAACACATGACTATTTTTTTATATCAATTTTAAATAAGATATATTTTTATACAACAGTCTCATCTTTATGTCCGCCATCAAATCTAATTGGATTTTGTACAATTTTAGATATAAGTAAATTTTATTATATTATTGTTAATTTATAAATCTTAATTCTATAATTATTGTCAAAAAAATAACACGGAGTCTCACGGATTTTTATAACACGTTATGAATTCCTTTATTCTATGCGAATTGTAGATAAGATAAAAAAATTCTCGCAATATATGCAAAAAAAATTCCTTTATAATAGCAAAAGCATACCTAACAATTTTTTTATTGCAATTTTATATAAAATATATTTTTATTCATATTTGGACAAATCTTACCTGTATGTCTGCCTTCAAATCTAACGGAATTTCGTGCGATTTCAATTTTAAGCATCGCGCTTTCAATAGCGAATTATCTCTGCTGTAGCTGCACGTCGAAGTCGGACGATGGCTCATAAATTTCACGGATCCCGATGAATCCCGCACCAGAACATCCGGTACCGTAGTCACGACAAAGCACAATAAGAGGAACCCGTTAAAAAGAAAGATGCTCATATCTGCAACAGAATTAGCGGAAACGTACGCTTATAAACCTTACTCGAACTTTGCCGCAACCAGATAATTAATTGCTAGCAAAAGTGAAATATTTGCGATTCTCTTTTGACTCCGCTACATTATCATTTATAGTATTTCAGTATCACGCAATATCTCTCCATCTCTCTCTGTTATATTTTAAATTATATATTTGTTAAATAATATGTTATATATTATATTTTATATTTTATATAAATTTTATTATTATATATTATCAAGGATAGCGAAAGTAGGCGACCAGACTGGTTACAATTCAGATGTATATTGTTGACACATTTGACCGACAATTTTGGTCAAGTGTTTATAATTAATACATCTAAGTTAAATATTAAAAATGTGACAATTAGTAATAAAAATTCATAGTAAAAAATAAAGTATTAATACAAGACTAAAGTATTACACATATATGGCGATAAACCTAAGCGTGCGTGGTATGAACGGTACAATGAATCTTATTCTCTAATTAAGAATGATAAAAATTCTGCTGACAATATAATAAAGTATCGAACAACAAAATTGTATACTGGCATGCAAGATACAAAATAAACAAAAAGAAACGAAAAGAGAGCGAAAATAATCGTGCGCGTATGATAAATAAAAAGTAAGCACTATAATAGTTATAAAAACAAAGTGATAAAAATGTGTCATTACCTAGTAGAAAAAATTAGTCAACTTAAAGACACCACAGAACTTTACTTTACTGCACAAGTAGTTTAAAACAAGTCGTGTGATGAGTCGAGAGACGAAGCGTGTCGTTCGAGAATTCAATACGTACTAATCCTCCGTGTTGCTGTCAAAACAATAACAGTGACCTAGAGAGATATACTCTGTTTCGGGCAAAGCGTATATAATATTAAAAATCGAATCGTATATTGAATTTTAATTATCTGTGTCTCTCTGTAAATTAATGGAGTTTTTATGCGTTTTTTAAAAATTCCACAATCTCTCCATTCTTTTGCAATGCGTTTCTGTAGAATTGAGAGAGATTGCCTGTTAAAATAATGAAAAATTATACATTATACATACAGAAATCGGTGCGCAAAACAAAATTATTCTTAATTCAATTTTCGAATCTTTCGACCATTTTTTGTCGTCATCTTTAGTGCACAATAAAAAACGAGTTACATTCTAATCGATATAAATTCGTGGTTACAAACGCCAGTTGTATGAAAAAATTAAGTATTACCACTAACAATCGTAAGATACGGAGTCAATAATTTTAAAAAACTGTCGTAAAACAAATCGCTATTACATCAATAAAAAGCACGCGACGACATTGTGCGATTGTCTTTCGAGAAGTTTATTTGACCAGCAACGAAGAAATTAACGCCGACATTTTTTCTTACATATATCGTCGCCAAGAGTATAGTGAGATAATATTCGTTCAAACACGCAGAGATCCAGATAGCACAAAGTTGTCTAAAAGGTGACTGAAAGATGACATATTTTTTATAAAGATGTCTTTCAGTGAGAGCTTATAGTCAAAGAAAAGATGTCTAATAGACGACATATGTTCGACTAAAAGTCATCTTACAGCCTTAACTTATAAGATATCTAAAAGACATTCTATTTTAGACATCTTATAATCGTCTTTTAAAGACATCTAAATGTAGACATCTTATAGTAGTCTTTTAAAAATATATCTTGGATATGCTTTCGTTAACTTTATTTTATAAAAAATTATTTTAATTAAAAATTAGAAGATGAATTTTTTTATATACGACAACAATTTATATATATATAAAGAAACATGTTTATTATATTTTTTTATTACATAACATTATATTCTTTATTATATAATAAATTTTTAATTTTTTAAAATTATCTTTTATACTATATAACATGCATACATTTGTATTATTGCCAAACAAAACAGCGTAATAAAATAAAATATAAAATATAGCATATAATAGCAGAGTAATATAATAAAAGATTAAATATTAGAATTATATGGATGCAGTTATGAAATATGGAATCAATATTTTTTATGTCTAAATTTCTATTGCAAATTGTGCCTGATACATTCAGGCACAATTTTTAATAAAAATCTTGAAATCGAAAAAATTGATGATTGGTTCCGTAAAGCATAACTTCATATAAGATACTATTAAAGATAATACAATATTAAAAATTAGAATATTAAGATGTAAACGATAAAAATTAAAAATGGAAACGATTAAAATTAAAGATAGGAACGATTAAAAATTAATATTAGAATATTAAATATAAATTATGAAATAATCATGTTTCGTGTCCCAGTTTTAGGTGATAACGAAATCTGTCTCCAGCTCTTCGAAAATTCCGCCATGTTCACATAAATTCTTATATAAAAATATCGTAAACATTATATACGCGAACACAATATAATAACATTTATAAATTTTTCTTATAAGATAACGCGTTTATATCATATTAATCTCCGCGGAACTGTCTTCTTTATTGATTACTTTCGTTATATATAAAGCCTGTTTTCTCATTCTTTTTCCATTCAAAGTGTAAAGTAATTTACAACAATAAGTTCCAGGAAAAGTCCAATGTATTTTATTCGATATCTCCAGCTTCTGGTTAATAATGTTTGTAAATTGTTGTTAATAATGGTTTATTGAACATTACGCAATATGTATTAATGATGATCAGACACAAACTTAGGCACGTAAATATATATCCGATTAAATTCTCTATAAATCCTCAGCCGATTAAACTCTTTCAGTAAATACCAACAGTTATTTCTCTTTTTTTTCCTACTTTTATAGTTTATAGATCTTTAGCCCTACTCGGATTTTTTGACTCCAAACACAGGATCGACCGTAATAAATTGTCAAATGAATATTAAAGCGTCTATATAAAAATTTCATGATTAAATGATCTTTGCGAAACATGTTTTCGGATAAATAATTTTTTTTTAACTATAGAGGTCCCAAAACATACATCTATGATTGTAATTTCTAGAATTAGACGTCAAAACGGCTACAATAAATTTTTGTACAGATATATGTCCGCGTATATGTAAATATCTACTTAAGCGGAACTCTTCCAGGCTTTGTTTATTTACAAATAAATTTTTTTCTATCATGAATAGTCTAAAAGTACGCAATCATATTCGCATTTTTTGGCACCAATACGGGGACGACGGTGATAAATTTTCAAACGAATATTTAAGCGTTTATGCAAAAATAACATTATAAACAGATTTTTCCGGACCTTGTTTCCGGATAAATAATTTTTTTCTATAGTAAGAGGTTCCAAGAATACCGCTATGCTTATAATTTTTTAAATTAGACGTCAAAATGGTCCTAATGGGTCTATGTCCGGATATACGTGCGTATATATGTAAATATCTTGTTAAACGAAATTAATCCAGGCCTTGTTATTTAACAAATAAATTTTTTTCTGTCGTAAATAATTTAAAAGTATGCAACCCTACTCGGAAAATTTTATTCTCGCGCAAAATTCTACTCTCGCATATTGTCGACGCCAGAAACAGCCCTTTCAACAGGATTCTACGTTCTACGTCGATTATTTCACAAATCATCGTCAAGTTGTTGTTTGATTAGTTGGGTGTTGTCGTAGACCGCCGTTAGCTGCTCCTCCTGCTTCATATACCGGCTACGGTACCGCTTGTGCACGAAGAACAACGCCACGAAAACCACGAAGAGGAACACCGAGACGCACGATACGACGCTTATCCAAAACGATCGAGGCTTCTCGATCTCCATCTTCCGCCCTTTCATTGCCAAGCACTCGTTGAACAGCTTGTGCGTCCGATCGCTGAATCTCACGTTGGCGCAGTCCTTGTAAAGAACTGCTGGTGGATCGGTGCATTTGTAAAGATCAGACTTCATCTTGATTTGTCGTAGCCTCACCCAGGCGTTGAACGCCTGACAATCACAGTTGCTCGCGTTGAATTTGATTCTATTTCCGGTCAGATCGAGCTCTTTCAGCGAGCAGAAAGGCGCAAGATCCTCGGTGCTGATCGAGGTGATTTTGTTGTAGGACACGTCGAGATGAAAGAGGGTCGGCTGGATGCCTATGTTCGGGATCACGGTGAGCAAATTCTTGCTCAGCTCCAGCAGTCTGAGAGGCGAGGTGACGTTGAACACAGAATCGTAGAGCAGGTTGTGGCCGAGATAGAGCGTGTGAAGATACGGCAATTGGAAGAGACTTTTGGGCAGATAGTTGATAATGTTGTACCTGAGATCCAGCACTTCCAGGTAAGGCTGATTGGCGAAGACTGCATTGTCAATTTTATGAAGCACTAAGTAATGTAGAGAAATGGCGACAAGCTCCTTGTAAGGATGTAGACTATCGTTAGTCAAGCGTAGCAACAAGTGCCCAGTAACATTGAGCACCTAGCAAACAGAGGAGGAACGTCAGGAGTGTTATCAGAGATGAAACGTACACAGGGTGGGCGATTTTAATTTATCCACGCGTATAGCTTTTGAACAATGCATTTTAGAATATTTCTTACAAAAGTTTTTTTACTTTGAGGGGAATATAAGATTCGAGCAAATTTTATTACAATATTATTTATAACTTATAAATCATAATTTTATAATTATTGTAAAAAAATAATAAATAAAATAGAGTCTCACGGATTTCTACAACTCGTTACAAATTTCTCTATTTTAAGCGAATTATAGATAAGATTAAAAAAATCCTCACAATATATATATATGTAGAAAATATTCTTTTATAATGGTAAAAATATACATAACAATTATTTTATTGCAATTTTAAATAAAGTATATTTAAACGACAATCTCACCTGTATGTCCGGATTCAAATCTAACGGGATTTTGGACAATTGGAAGTTAGGGCATCGCGCTTCCAATAACGAATTAGATATGATGTAGTGGCAGTGGTCCATTGTTTCCGCGGATTCCGATGAATCCAGGTAAATACTCGATAATGAGGCTACGGCGTAGCCCAGTAAAAGAAACCCGTTGAAGAGAAAGATTCTCATATCTGCAACAGAATCAGCGCAAACGTACGCTTATAAACTTTGCCCAAATTTTTCTACAACCAAATAATTGATCGCCCGCGAAGGTGCAATTTGGGATTCCCTCTTTACACCGCCACATTATCATTTACGGTATGTTAGTATCACGCAACATCTCTCCATCTTTCTCTATTTAATTTTAAATTATATATTTGTAATATAATATATTACATATTATTTGATATTTTACATATATTTTATTATTATATTTTTTTCAAGGACACCGAAATACTGGCTACGATTTAGATGTTTATTGTTGACACTGACAATTTCGGTCAAGTGTCTATAATTGATACATCTAAATTATAATACTAAAAATATGACAATTATTAATAAAAATTGATAGAAAAAAATAAAATTTTAATACATAACTAAGATATTACACATATATCGCGGTAAATATAAGCGTGTGTGATATAAACATTACAATCAATCTAATTAAAAATTATATAAATTTCCGTGACAATTAAATAAAGAATCGAAGATTGAAATTGTATACCGGCATACAAGATACAATATAATCGAAAAGAAACGAAGAGAGAGTGAAAATAATCGTGCGCGTATGATAAAGTAAGAGTAGGCACTATAGTAGTTATTTAAAAAGCAAAGTGATAAAAATGTATCATATATTATCTTAAGTAAACTAGATAACTTAAACACACAACAGAACTTTATTCCATTGCACAAGCACGTTCAAAATAAGTCGTTACTGTGATGCGTCGTTGAGAGACGATGTGTACAGATCCAGCATTCTATAAGTACTAAACTTTATATGATATTAAGAATCGAATTGTATATTAAATTCAAATTGTCTGTGTCTTTCTGTAAATTGATTGAGTCCTTATCCGTTTTTATAAAGATAATTTCTTCAATCTGTTTCTTGTAATGCGTTTCTGTATGTAGAATGAAGGGAGATTCCCAGTTAAAATCTTTGATATATATATATATATATATATATATATATATATATATATATATATCATTGAATGTTATATAAATCATTATTTTATAATGTATTATATGTATTCTATATTATTTTACTTGCTAAATATATCAAGTATATTCTTTGTGAACCTCAAATCATTCAATAGATACTTTTTTATTTTAAAAATCCGTTTTTATAAGAAGTTGGGAAAAAGGAACGAAATGAGGATGGGCTTAAATGACAAAGTTAATTAGCCGGCAATATAATTTAAAAAAAATTTTTTCACCCTACTCCGATATTTCTGTAATCTGATTAAGTATCATTTGAAAGAGAAAGAGGAAGCGAGAGAGAGAGACGATTATAAAATTATAATAGCTTCAACTTTTGCAATCACATTTTTGTGAGTTTCGAGCGCTTTTGAAGAGACGAAATCGTATTTCTTTAGTTGCATATTCCGCCATTTAGGGGGTAAACTATCTCCTTAAAAAATATTAGTTTTTTTTTATTTCAGAGCTAATACTATCAAAACGGTAAAAGTTAAAAAAGTGTTTCAAATAAAAGTTATATGGTTTGTAATGCTTATGGGTTTTATTTGTTACAAACATGATGATTGTGAAAAAAATATTTTATACAAAAAGATTTTTCTTGTTGATTTTCCTTGATTGGCTCTCCTTTTTTTACTTGCAATATATTTCCTCATTCTCAATTTACATATATGTAAATGATTTATTGTTACACAATTGTTCTACAATATTTAAGTATATAAAACGTGAAGGTTTTAATATATAAATTTTTTTAGTTTTTATAAATTTTTATATTTATAAATATATAAATTCTTACAAATTTAATTATTAAATATATATATACATTTATACAATTATTAATTGTTAAATATAATATACATACATAAATTGCAATATAGAAATTTGTTATCAATAATTCATTCTTTCTATGAGATTACGAAGAAAAGACAGTTATCACAAATAGCGAGCGTCTAGCAGATTCTAATGGAGTGCGTATAATGACATTATTAGTTAATTTCTACAAAATGTATTGTTGGAATACAACTTGAAATGTTATTCCAAACGTCTGAACTAGTCATATTTTAATACGACATAATATTTGCAATAATATTGTGAATTTGTAAAAACTAGATATAAATTGATTTTAAAATTTCATCACATTTATGTTGAAATTTTTCAATAGTCAGAATATTACTTCAAATGCTTGAAAAGGCAAGTTTTTGCTTAAAGTCTTTTAAATAATTTTTTGCCAAGTTTTTGCAAAATTCCTTTTTATGCGACTAGCAACACAAGCGCGCGCCATTAATGTTATTTTAATTTTTTTATCACACATATATTGCGAGACTTCTTATGCAACTAATTTTTAAACTTCTTAAATAAATTTAATTTTAAATAATTTTTAGACTTCTTTTTATGCGAACTATCAATTTGCAAATAACTGCAAATTAATACAAATGACAGTTGCTCAAGACATGAACTGAGCGCATTGAAAGAACCAATCGGCATCACGGAAAAACGGCAACAATTAAAGCGTCACATGTCTTTATTTCAAATAGAATGTGTCCATCAAGTAAAAAAACGAAAAAGTTTATATATAGAAAAACTTACTTTTGAGCATATCCTCTGAAATTGCTTGCACGTGGAACTAAAATTCTCAACATCCAGTTAATAGTTACGTTATTTAAAATTATTAAAATAATTTCGGTAAGCAAATACTTTATTGTAACTATTATTTATGCGACAAAAATATATATAATAAACACAAATACAATATAAAAACAACTTGCAGTTTGAGTTTTTCTTAATGACTCGAATGATTTTCTATGCACTAACGCACGAGGCTTAGAGTATCGTGGACAGCTATAGACTGGGAATGACCAAATGCCTAAAGTGGTAGGGACAAAAGAAAAAGATAAAATAAATCTTTCTTTTATCTTCTAATCGTGCTTTTACAACGATACTATTTCGGCCGTACATTGGAATTTTTTGGTCTAGCTTTTTTATTTGTGGGAAAAAATTCATTTTTTTTTGTATAATTTTCAGGTCTCGTTCTATCGTTTGCATTATACTATAGACTATGAATTATCTGCGTCATAAAATAATAGCAATTTTTGCTTGCACCGAAGTTATTTCTGTTACAACTTATTGCAGAAAATATTCTTTCATAATGGAAAAAAGTACACTGACTATTTTTTATTGCAATTGTAAGGAAAATATATTTAAACGACAATCTCACCTGTATGTCCGCCTTCTAATCTAATGGGATTTTGTGCACATTTCCAGTTTTGAGTAAATTTAATTATAATATTATTTATAACTCATAAGTCATAATTTTATAATAATTGTAAAAAAAGAAAAAATAAAATGGAGTCTCATGAATTTCTACAATTCGTTATAAATTCTTCTATTTTACGCAAACTGTAAATAAGATTAAAAAAAGATCCTCGCGATATATATATATATGCAGAAAATATTCTTTTATAATGACAAAAATATAAATGACAATTATTTTATTGAAATTTCAAGTAAAATATATTTAAACGACAATCTCACCTGTATGTCCGTCTGCAAACCTAACGGGATCTCGTGCAATTATAGATTTAAGTAAATTTTATTATATTATTTTTAATTTATAAATCTTAATTCTCTATAATTATTGTCAAAAAAATAACACGGAGTCTCACGAATTTTTATAACACGTTATGAAATCCTTTATTCTATGCGAATTGTAGATAAGATAAAAAAATTCTCGCAATATATGCAAAAAAAATTCCTTTATAATAGCAAAAGCATACCTAACAATTTTTTTATTGCAATTTTATATAAAATATATTTTTATTCATATTTGGACAATAATCTTACCCGTATGTCTGCCTTCAAATCTAACGGAATTTCGTGCGATTTCAATTTTAAGCATCGCGCTTTCAATAGCGAATTATCTCTGCTGTAACTGCACATCGAAGTCGGACGATGGCTCACAAATTTCACAGGTCCCGATGAATCCCGCACCAGAACATCCGGTACCGTAGTCACGACAAAGCACAATAAAAGGAACCCGTTAAAAAGAAAGATGCTCATATCTGCAACAGAATTAGCGGAAACGTACGCTTATAAACCTTGCTCGAACTTTGCCGCAACCAGATAATTAATGCTAGCAAAAGTGAAATATTTGCGATTCTCTTTTGACTCCGCTACATTATCATTTATAGTATTTTAGTATCACGCAATATCTCTCCATCTCTCTCTGTTATATTTTAAATTATATATTTGTTAAATGATATGTTATATATTATTCTATATTTTATATAAATTTTATTATTATATATTATCAAGAATAGCGAAAGTAGGCGACCAGACTGGTTACAATTCAGATGTATATTGTTGACACATTTGACCGACAATTTTGGTCAAGTGTCTATAATTAATACATCTAAGTTAAATATTAAAAATGTGACAATTAGTAATAAAAATTCATAGTAAAAAATAAAGTATTAATACAAGACTAAAGTATTACACATATATGGCGATAAACCTAAGCGTGCGTGGTATGAACGGTACAATGAATCTTATTCTCTAATTAAGAATGATAAAAATTCTGCTGACAATATAATAAAGTATCGAACAACAAAATTGTATACTGGCATGCAAAATACAAAATAAACAAAAAGAAACGAAAAGAGAGCGAAAATAATCGTGCGCGTATGATAAATAAAAAGTAAGCACTATAATAGTTATAAAAACAAAGTGATAAAAATGTGTCATTACCTAGTAGAAAAAATTAGTCAACTTAAAGACACCACAGAACTTTACTTTACTGCACAAGTAGTTTAAAACAAGTCGTGTGATGAGTCGAGAGACGAAGCGTGTCGTTCGAGAATTCAATACGTACTAATCCTCCGTGTTGCTGTCAAAACAATAACAGTGACCTAGAGAGATATACTCTGTTTCGGGCAAAGCGTATATAATATTAAAAATCGAATCGTATATTGAATTGTAATTATCTGTGTCTCTCTGTAAATTAATGGAGTTTTTATGCGTTTTTTAAAAATTCCACAATCTCTCCATTTTTTTGCAATGCGTTTCTGTAGAATTGAGAGAGATTGCCTGTTAAAATCATAATGAAAAATTATACATTATACATACAGAAATCGGTGCGCAAAACAAAATTATTCTTAATTCAATTTTCGAATCTTTCGACCATTTTTTGTCGTCATCTTTAGTGTACAATAAAAAACGAGTTACATTCTAATCGATATAAATTCGTGGTTGCAAACGCCAGTTTTATGAAAAAATTAAGTATTACCACTAACAATCGTAAGATACGGAGTCAATAATTTTAAAAAACTGTCGTAAAACAAATCGCTATTACATCAATAAAAAGCACGCGACGACATTGTGCGATTGTCTTTCGAGAAGTTTATTTGACCAGCAACAAAGAAATTAACGCCGACATTTTTTCTTACATATATCGTCGCCAAGAGTATAGTGAGATAATATTCGTTCAAACACGCAGAGATCCAGATAGCACAAAGTTGTCTAAAAGGTGACTGAAAGATGACATATTTTGTATAAAGATGTCTTTCAGTGAGAGCTTATAGTCAAAGAAAAGATGTCTAATAGACGACATATGTTCGACTAAAAGTCATCTTACAGCCTTAACTTATAAGATATCTAAAAGACATTCTATTTTAGACATCTTATAATCGTCTTTTAAAAGACATCTAAATGTAGACATCTTATAGTCGTCTTTTAAAAATATATCTTGGATATGTTTTCGTTAACTTTATTTTATAAAAAATTATTTTAATTAAAAATTAGAAGATGAATTTTTTTATATACGACAACAATTTATATATATAAAAAGAAACATGTTTATTATATTTTTTTTATTACATAACATTATATTCTTTATTATATAATAAATTTTTAATTTTTTAAAATTATCTTTTATACTATATTATATGCATACATTTGTATTATTGCCAAACAAAACAGCGTAATAAATAAAATATAAAATATAGCATATAATAGCAGAGTAATATAATAAAAGATTTAATATTAGAATTATATGGATGCAGTTATGAAATATGGAATCAATATTTTTTATGTCTAAATTTCTATTGCAAATTGTGCCTAATACATTCAGGCACAATTTTTAATAAAAATCTTGAAATCGAAAAATTGATGATTGGTTCCGTAAAGCATAACTTCATATAAGATACTATTAAAGATAATACAATATTAAAAATTAGAATATTAAGATGTAAACGATAAAAATTAAAAATGGAAACGATTAAAAGTAAAGATAGGAACGATTAAAAATTAATATTAGGATATTAAATATAAATTATGAAATAATCATGTTTCGTGTCCCAGTTTTAGGTGATAACGAAATCTGTCTCCAGCTCTTCGAAAATTCCGCCACGTTTACATGAATTCTTATATAAAAATATCGTAGACATTATATACGCGAACACAATATAATAACATTTATAAATTTTTCTTATAAGATAACGAGTTTATATCATATTAATCTCCGCGGAACTGTCTTCTTTATTGATTACTTTCGTTATATATAAAGCCTGTCTTCTCATTCTTTTTCCATTTAAAGTGTAAAGTAATTTACAACAATAAGTTCCAGGAAAAGTCCAATGTATTTTATTCGATATCTCCAGCTTCTGGTTAATAATTGATAAAGGCTATAAAATATATATACCTCATTCTTTTTAGAAAGTAATATATTCTTTAAAAAATGGCAATTGTGCCAGGAGCAGCATTCGAACTATTATAATAATCTTATGTTTATTGAACATTAACGATATGTATTAATAATGATCAGACACAAACTTAGGCACGTAAATATATATCCGATTAAATTCTCTATGAATCCTCAGCCGATTAAACTCTTTCAGTAAATACCAACAGTTATTTCTCTCTTTTTCTCCTACTTTTATATTTTATAGATCTTTAACCCCACTCAGATTTTTTGACTTCAAACACAGGATCAACCGTAATAAATTGTCAAATGAATATTTAAGCGTCTATATAAAAATTTCATGATTAAATGATCTTTGCGAAACATGTTTCCGGATAAATAATTTTTTTTTAACTATAGAGGTCCCAAAACATACATCTATGATTGTAATTTCTAGAATTAGACGTCAAAACGGCTACAATAAATTTTTGTACAGATATATGTCCGCGTATATGTAAATATCTACTTAAGCGGAACTCTTCCAGGCTTTGTTTATTAACAAATAAATTTTTTTCTATCCTGAATAGTCTAAAAGTACGCAATTATACTCGCATTTTGTGGCACCAATACGAGGACGACGGTGATAAATTGTCAAACGAATATTTAAGCGTTTATGCAAAAATAACATTATAAACAGATTTTTCCGGACCTTGTTTCCGGATAAATAATTTTTTTCTATAGTAAGAGGTTCCAAGAATACCGCTATGCTTATAATTTTTTAAATTAGACGTCAAAATGGTCCTAATGGGTCTATGTCCGAATATACGTGCGTATATATGTAAATATCTTGTTGAACGGAATTAATCCAAGCCTTGTTATTTTACAAATAAATTTTTTTCTGTCGTAAATAATTTAAAAGTATGCAACCCTACTCGGAAAATTTTATTCTCGCGCAAAATTCTACTCTCGCATATTGTCGACGCCAGAAACAGCCCTTTCAACAGGATTCTACGTTCTACGTCGATTATTTCACAAATCATCGTCAAGTTGTTGTTTGATTAGTTGGGTGTTGTCGTAGACCGCCGTTAGCTGCTCCTCCTGCTTCATATACCGGCTACGGTACCGCTTGTGCACGAAGAACAACGCCACGAAAACCACGAAGAGGAACACCGAGACGCACGATACGACGCTTATCCAAAACGATCGAGGCTTCACGATCTCCATCTTCCGCCCTTTCATTGCCAAGCACTCGTTGAACAGCTTGTGCGTCCGATCGCTGAATCTCACGTTGGCGCAGTCCTTGTAAAAACTGCTGGTGGATCGGTGCATTTGTAAAGATCGGACTTCATCTTGATTTGTCGTAGCTTCACCCAGGCGTTGAACGCCTGACAATCACAGCTGCTCGCGTTGAATTTGATTCTATTTCCGGTCAGATCGAGCTCTTTCAGCGAGCAGAAAGGCGCCAGATCCTCGGTGCTGATCGAGGTGATTCTGTTGTAGGACACGTCGAGATAAAGAGGGTCGGCTGGATGCCTATGTTCGGGATCACGGTGAGCAAATTCTTGCTCAGCTCCAGCAGTCTGAGAGGCGAGGTGACGTTGAACACAGAATCGTAGAGCAGGTTGTGGCCGAGATAGAGCGTGTGAAGATACGGCAATTGGAAGAGACTTTTGGGCAGATAGTTGATAACGTTGTACCTGAGATCCAGCACTTCCAGGTAAGGCTGATTGGCGAAGACTGCATTGTCAATTTTACGAAGCACTAAGTAATGTAGAGAAATGGCGACGAGCTCCTTGTAAGGATGTAGACTATCGTTAGTCAAGCGTAGCAACAAGTGCCCAGTAACATTGAGCACCTAGCAAACAGAGGAGGAACGTCAGGAGTGTTATCAGAGATGAAACGTACACAGGGTGGGCGATTTTAATTTATCCACGCGTATAGCTTTTGAACAATGCATTTTAGAATATTTCTTACAAAAGTTTTTTTACTTTGAAGAGAATATAAGATTCGAGCAAATTTTATTACAATATTATTTATAACTTATAAATCATAATTTTATAATTATTGTAAAAAAATAATAAATAAAATAGAGTCTCACGGATTTCTACAACTCGTTACAAATTTCTCTATTTTAAGCGAATTATAGATAAGATTAAAAAAAATCCTCACAATATATATATATGTAGAAAATATTCTTTTATAATGGTAAAAATATACATAACAATTATTATATTGCAATTTTAAATAAAGTATATTTAAACGACAATCTCACCTGTATGTCCGGATTCAAATCTAACGGGATTTTGGACAATTGGAAGTTAGGGCATCGCGCTTCCAATAACGAATTAGATATGATGTAGTGGCAGTGGTCCATTGTTTCCTCGGATTCCGATGAATCCAGGTAAATACTCGATAATGAGGCTACGGCGTAGCCCAGTAAAAGAAACCCGTTGAAGAGAAAGATTCTCATATCTGCAACAGAATCAGCGCAAACGTACGCTTATAAACTTTGCCCAAATTTTTCTACAACCAAATAATTGATCGCCCGCGAAGGTGCAATTTGGGATTCCCTCTTTACACCGCCACATTATCATTTATGGTATGTTAGTATCACGCAACATCTCTCCATCTTTCTCTATTTAATTTTAAATTATATATTTGTAATATAATATATTACATATTATTTGATATTTTACATATATTTTATTATTATATTTTTTTCAAGGACACCGAAATACTGGCTACGATTTAGATGTTTATTGTTGACACTGACAATTTCGGTCAAGTGTCTATAATTGATACATCTAAATTATAATACTAAAAATATGACAATTATTAATAAAAATTGATAGAAAAAAATAAAATTTTAATACATAACTAAGATATTACACATATATCGCGGTAAATATAAGCGTGTGTGATATAAACATTACAATCAATCTAATTAAAAATTATATAAATTTCCGTGACAATTAAATAAAGAATCGAAGATTGAAATTGTATACCGGCATACAAGATACAAAATAATCGAAAAGAAACGAAGAGAGAGTGAAAATAATCGTGCGCGTATGATAAAGTAAGAGTAGGCACTATAGTAGTTATTTAAAAAGCGAAGTGATAAAAATGTATCATATATTATCTTAAGTAAACTAGATAACTTAAACACACAACAGAACTTTATTCCATTGCACAAGCACGTTCAAAATAAGTCGTTACTGTGATGCGTCGTTCAGAGACGATGTGTACAGATCCAGCATTCTATAAGTACTAAACTTTATATGATATTAAGAATCGAATTGTATATTGAATTCAAATTGTCTGTGTCTTTCTGTAAATTGATTGAGTCCTTATCCGTTTTTATAAAGATAATTTCTTCAATCTGTTTCTTGTAATGCGTTTCTGTATGTAGAATGAAGGGAGATTCCCAGTTAAAATCTTTGATATATATATATATATATATATATATATATATATCATTGAATGTTATATAAATCATTATTTTATAATGTATTATATGTATTCTATATTATTTTACTTGCTAAATATATCAAGTATATTCTTTGTGAACCTCAAATCATTCAATAGATACTTTTTTATTTTAAAAATCCGTTTTTATAAGAAGTTGGGAAAAAGGAACGAAATGAGGATGGGCTTAAATGACAAAGTTAATTAGCCGGCAATATAATTTAAAAAAAAATTTTTTCACCCTACTCCGATATTTCTGTAATCTGATTAAGTATCATTTGAAAGAGAAAGAGGAAGCGAGAGAGAGAGACGATTATAAAATTATAATAGCTTCAGCTTCTGCAATCACATTTTTGTGAGTTTCGAGCGCTTTTGAAGAGACGAAATCGTATTTCTTTAGTTGCATATTCCGCCATTTAGGGGGTAAACTATCTCCTTAAAAAATATTAGTTTTTTTTTATTTCAGAGCTAATACTATCAAAACGGTAAAAGTTAAAAAAAGTGTTTCAAATAAAAGTTATATGGTTTGTAATGCTTATGGGTTTTATTTGTTACAAACATGATGATTGTGAAAAAAATATTTTATACAAAAAGATTTTTCTTGTTGATTTTCCTTGATTGGCTCTCCTTTTTTTACTTGCAATATATTTCCTCATTCTCAATTTACATATATGTAAATGATTTATTGTTACACAATTGTTCTACAATATTTAAGTATATAAAACGTGAAGGTTTTAATATATAAATTTTTTTAGTTTTTATAAATTTTTATATTTATAAATATATAAATTCTTACAAATTTAATTATTAAATATATATATACATTTATACAATTATTAATTGTTAAATATAATATACATACATAAATTGCAATATAGAAATTTGTTATCAATAATTCATTCTTTCTATGAGATTACGAAGAAAAGACAGTTATCACAAATAGCGAGCGTCTAGCAGATTCTAATGGAGTGCGTATAATGACATTATTAGTTAATTTCTACAAAATGGATTGTTAGAATACAACTTGAAATGTTATTCCAAACGTCTGAACTAGTCATATTTTAATACGACATAATATTTGCAATAATATTGTGAATTTGTAAAAGCTAGATATAAATTAATTTTAAAATTTCATCACATTTATGTTGAAATTTTTTAAAAGTCAGAATATTACTTCAAATGCTTTAAAAGGCAAAAGTTTTTGCGTAAAGTCTTTTAAATTAATTTATCGCCAAGTTTTTGCAAAGTTCCTTTTTATGCGACTAACAACACAAGCGCGCGCTTCGCGCGCGCCATTAATTATTGTTATTTTAATTTTTTAAGTTATTTTAATTTTTTTATCACACATATATTGCGAGACTTCCTATGCAACTGATTTTTAAACTTCTTAAATAAATTTAATCTTAAATAATTTTTAGACTTCTTTTTATGCGAACTATCAATTTGCAAATAATTGCAAATTAATACAAATGACAGCTGCTCAAGACATGAACTGAGCGCATTGAAAGAACCAATCGGCATCACGAAAAAACGGCAACAATTAAAGCGTCACATGCCTTTATTTCAAATAGAATGTGTCCATCAAGTAAAAAAACGAAAAAGTTTATATATAGAAAAACTTACTTTTGAGCATATCCTCTGAAATTGCTTGCACGTGGAACTAAAATTCTCAACGTCCAGTTAATAGTTACGTTATTTAAAATTATTAAAATAATCTCGGTAAGCAAATACTTTATTGTAACTATTATTTATGCGACAAAAATATATATAATAAATACAAATACAATATAAAAACAACTTGCAGTTTGAGTTTTTCTTAATGACTCGAATGATTTTCTATGCACTAACGCACGAGGCTTAGAGTATCGTGGACAGCTATAGACTGGGAATGACCAAATGCCTAAAGTGGTAGGGACAAAGGAAAGAGATAAAATAAATCTTTCTTTTATCTTCTAATCGTGCTTCCACAACGATACTACTTCGGCCGTACCCTGAAAATTTTTGGTCTAGCTTCTTTATTTGTGGGAAAAAATTCATTTTCTTTTGTATAATTTTCAGGTCTCGTTCTATTGTTTGCATTATACTATAGACTATGAATTATCTGCGTCATAAAATAATAGCAATTTTTGCTTGCACCGAAGTTATTTCTGTTACAACTTATTGCAGAAAATATTCTTTCATAATGGAAAAAAATACACTGACTATTTTTTATTGCAATTGTAAGGAAAATATATTTAAACGACAATCTCACCTGTATGTCCGCCTTCTAATCTAATGGGATTTTGTGCACATTTCCAGTTTTGAGTAAATTTAATTATAATATTATTTATAACTCATAAGTCATAATTTTATAATAATTGTAAAAAAATAAAAAATAAAATGGAGTCTCATAAATTTCTACAACTCGTTATAAATTCTTTTATTTTACGCAAACTGTAAATAAGATTAAAAAAAAGATCCTCGCGATATATATATGCAGAAAATATTCTTTTATAATGACAAAAATATACATGACAATTATTTTATTGAAATTTTAAGTAAAATATATTTAAACGACAATCTCACCTGTATGTCCGTCTGCAAACCTAACGGGATCTCGTGCAATTATAGATTTAAGTAAATTTTATTATATTATTTTTAATTTATAAATCTTAATTTTATATTTATTGTCAAAAAAATAACACGGAGTTTCAGGGATTTTTATAACACGTTATGAATTCCTTTATTCTATGCGAATTATAGATAAGATAAAAAAAATGATTCTCGCGATATATGCAAAAAAATTCCTTTATAATAGCAAAAGCATACCTGACAATTTTTTTATTGCAATTTTATATAAAATATATTTTTATTCATATTTGGACAATAATCTTACCTATATGTCCGCCTTCAAATCTAACGAGATTTCGTGCGATTTCAATTTTAAGCATCGCGCTTTCAATAGCGAATTATCTCTGCTATAGCTGCACATCGGGGTCGGAAGATGGCTCATTTTCACGGGTCCCGATGAATCCCACATCAGAACATCATATAGATAAGAGAAACCAGATAATTAATCGCTCGCAAAAGTGCAATATTTGCGATTCTCTTTTGACTCCGTTACATTATCATTTATAGTATTTTAATATCACGCAATATCTCTCCATCTCTCTCTATTACATTTTAAATTATATATTTGTTATATGATATGTTATATTATATTTTATATTTTATATATATTTTATATATATTATTTATTATCAAGAAAAACGTAAATAGACCACCAGGTTGGCTACGATTCATGTATTTGTTATTGTCACAATGCTTTGATCGACAATTTCGATTCTTATTGAGTATCTGTAATTAATACGTATAAATTAAATACAAAAAATATAACAATCAAGAATAAGAATCGATAGTAAAAAATACTAATACACGACTAAAATATTACACATTTATCGCGATAAATCTAGGCGTCTGTGATATAAACATTACAATTAATCTAATTAAAAATGATATAACTTTCCGTAACAATATAATAAAGTATCGAACATTGAAATTGTGTAACGACATAAAAGATACAAAATAAACCAAAAAAGAACGAAAATGATCCTGTGCGTATGATAAATAAAGAATGGGCACTATAATAGTTATAAAAGCAAAGTGATAAAAATTTGTTACATTACCTAGAATAAATTATATAATTTAATCGCACCACAGAAATTTACTTTATTGGACAGATACGTTTAAAGTAAGTTTTTACTAAGGTGAGTCATACAATAACAGTGACCTAGAGAGGTATACTCTGTTTCGGGGGAAGCGTATATGATATTAAGAATCGAATCGTACATTGAATTTAAATTATCTGTGCCTTTCTGTAAATTTGTGGAGCCTTTATGCATTTTTATAAAGTTTATTTCCGCAATATCTCTTCTCTTGTAATGAGTTTCTGTAGAATGGAGGAAGGTTGCCAGTTAAAATCATAATGAAAAGTTATATATTATACATACAGAAATCAATGCGCAAACAAATTTATTCTTTATTTAATTTTTTAACGTATCCATTTTTCTTCGTCATCTTTAGTGTCCAATAAAAAACGAGTTACATTCCAATCGATATAAATGCATAGTTGCAAACGCCAGTTGTATAAAAAAAAAATTAAGTATTGCCACTAACAATCGTAAGATACGAAGTCAATAATTTTAAAAAACTGTCGCAAAACGAATCGCTATTACATCAACAAAAAGTACGCGATGACGTTGAGCGATCGGCTTTCGAGAAGTTCATTTGACTGGCATCGAAAAAATTTACGCCGACATTCTTCCTAGATATATCGTCATCAAGAGTATAGTGAGATAATATTCGTTCAAACACGCAGAGAGTTTCTCGAAAATGCCGCCACATTCACATAGATTTTTATATAAAAATATTGTAATCTTTATATGCGAACACAATATAATAATATTTTAAAATTTTATATATAAAGCCTGCTTTCTCATATTTTTTCTATTCAAACCCAAGTATTGTAGAACAGAAAATCAAAATAATATCATTTTGATTTTCTGTTCTACTTGGGAAGTCTAAAGTAATTTACAACAATAAGTATACCATAGAAAGTATATTATCCGATATCTCTGGCTTCTAGATAATAATTAACAACGCTTTTGTTGATCATAACTTTGTTCAAAAGGCTATATAATATATATGTATCTCACTTCTTTTAGAAATTTGTAATATATTTTTCAAAAAATGGAAATTGTGTGCCAGGAGTAGCATTCAAGCTATAATAATAATCTTACGTTAATAACATTTATTGAATTGAATATTGAATACACATTGTACGATGTGTATTAAAGATATTCAGATACAAACTTGGGCACGTAAATATATATCCTTTTCAATTTTTCGTGAATCCTGAGTCAATTAAATCCTTTCAATAAACAAGTTCTCGCTCTCTTTTTTCCTCTCGCGTTTTCAACAATAGAAACAGCCTTTCTTAGATGATTCTACTTCTTTTCTCCTTCTTTCTCCTATCGGCTAATATTTTACTAATTATCATCAGATTGCTGTTGGAGCAGCTCGGTCTTGTCGTAGATCACAATTAGTTGTTGCTCCTTCTGCTACTTCTGCTTCTTATGCGCCACATACAGTTCCGCTTGTACGCGCATAACAACGACCCGAAGCTCACGAGGAAAAACACCAAAGCGCACGGGAAGATGTATATCCAGACAGATCGAGGCTTCACGGTCTCCTCCTGCTGTTTGACAGGGGAGCACTCGTTGAAGAGCTCGTTTGTCCGATCGCTAAATCTCACGTTTGCGCAGGCCTTGCGCTGTGCCGGTGAATCATTGCATTCGTAGAAAGAGTCGGGCTTTATCTTGATCTGTCGTAGCTTTAGCCATGCGCTGAACGTCTCACAATCGCAACTGCGCGCGTTAAATCTGATTCTATTCATGGTCAAATCGAGCTCTTTCAGCGAACAGAACGGCGCCAGATCCTCGGTGTTGATCGAAGTGATTTCGTTGTCGGACAGGTTCAGATTAAGGAGAGTCGGCTGGACACCTATGTTCGGAATCCCGGTTAGCCAGTTGCTGCTTAGCTCCAGCACTTTAAGGGGCGATGTGACCTTTACCTTGAACACGGAATCGGTGAGCATGTTACGGCTAAGATAGAGCGAGTGAAGATACGGCAATTGGAAGAGACTTTTGGGCAGAGAGTTGCAAAAGTTGTGCGACAGATCCAGCACCTGCAGGTAAGGCTGATTGGCGAAGGCTGCCTCTTCGATTTCAGTGATAGAATTGTCACCTAGATAGATGAAGGTCAGGTTCTTGTAAAGATGGAGACTGTCGTTCTTCAGTTTCGTCACTTGATTCCAGGTTAAATCTAGTACCTAGCAAACAGAGGAAGAACGTCAGGAGTGTCATCAGGGATGAAACGCATATCCGGTGGTCAGTTTTAATCGATCTATGAGAATATCTTTTGAACAATGCATTTTAGAATGCTCCATACAAAATTTTTTGACTTCGAGGGGAATATAAGATTGTGTCATTGGTTTGCATAGTCGCTTGAAAATCACTAAACGTTACCTTCAATTTTTTAAATAAAAGTAGCTAAAAAAATATACTTTGAAAATTAGGGATCTTGGTTTAAGAAAGTGAAGATGATCTTTAAACGACTATCCATGGTCAAATATATGATATGAACCTTATATGGAGAATTATTTTTAGGAACTTTTATTTAATAATAATACTAAAAATTTTATTATATTATTTTTAATTTATAAATCTAAATTTGTTCGAGCGCAAACCCGTTAAATCGGAATTACCCGTTATATTTCTTTAAATGTAAAAATTATAATCGGTTATATTCGATGTTGCAGGTGTTATTTGTGCGAAAACGCGATCGATTATTTTATGCATAGTTATTTCCGCGAATTGTTTGGTCAATCCTAAAAACCTGCCAAACACTTTCCAACGATTATATACGTTTTTTGGTAACCCAAACAGCTGACAAGTGCTAGGCCTGTTTGTAAACAAAGAACGCGCGTCAACGATCGATGTGTGTTCTGTTCTCTCGCTCGAACAGCTGTGTGATCGTATATTTTAAAAAACGAAAAGGCAAAAGACGCGCGCGCGACTAACAAAAAATCGAATAACTATTGTCTTTGCTTTCGTGCTCGTGCAATTTTTAGGCAGATTGTCTTTCACTCTCGAAAAAATTTAACTGGCTCAGAAAACGGTCCATCGCTCGCGGCACGTGAAATTAATCGCGTATAGCTTTTCGCGCCTTGCGTATATATTACATCGATGTCGCTCGCTTCGAGATTAAAAACGGCATTCAGGCTGCTCGCTTCTCTGCACGCGTTTTCGCGATCTCATATCTTTTTTGTATTTTGTATTTTGTTTTTTTTTCTTTTTGTTAAATAAACGCTTGTAACTTTTTTCTTTGTCAGATAATCGTGTGTGAATAATTTACAGTCTTTCTCTCTCGTTTTCGCGCGGAATATTTTCAATTTGCTCTCATCGCTACAAAATTTTTCCCATATTTAAAAAATGGAACAAAGTTTTATGGATTTTCAAAACTCGTTACAAATCCCTCTATTTTATGCAAATTGCAGATAAGATAAAACATCGTTACTATATATGCAGAAAATATTCTTTCATAATGGAAAAAGAATACACTGACTATTTTTCATTACAATTGTAAAAAAGATATATTCATCCGACAATCTCACCCGTATGTCCGCCTTCTAATCTAATGAGATTTTGTGCATTTCCAGTTGCGAGCAAATTTTATTATAATATTGTTTATAACTTATAAGTCATAATTTCATAATAATTTTTAAAAAATAAAAAATAAAATAGAGTCTCATGGATTTCTACAACTCGTTATAAATTCTTCTATTTTACGCGAACTGTAGATAAAATTAAAAAAAGATCATTGTAATATATATATATATATATAAGATAAGATTAAAAAAATCCTCGTAATATATATATTACGAGGATCTTTTTTTAATCTTATCTACAGTTTGCGTAAAATAGAAGAATTTATGACTGTAAATAAGATTAAAAAAAGATCCTTGTAATATAAATATATATATATACGAGAATCTTTTTTAATCTTATCTACAGTTTGCGTATAATAGAAGAATTTATAACGAGTTGTAGAAATTCATGAGACTCCATTTTATTTTTTCTTTTATATATATATATATATATATATATTATGCAGAAAATATTCTTTTATAATGACAAAATTATACATGACAATTATTTTATTGCAATTTTAAATAAAATATATTTAAACGACAATCTCATCTGCATATCCGTCTTCAAATCTAACGGGATTTCGTGCAATTTTAGATTTAAGTAAATTTTATTATATTATTTTTAATTTATAAATTTTAATTCATAATTATCGTCAAAAAAATAACACCGAATCTCACGAATTTTTAAAACACATTATAAATTCTTTCATTTTATGCAAATTGTAGATATGATAAAAAAAGATTTTTGTGATATGTGCAAAAAATATTCTTTATAACAGCAAAAGCATACCTGACAATTTCATTAGTGCAATTTTTAGTAAAATATATTTTTATTCATATTTGAAAATCTTACCTGTATGTCCGTCTTCAAATCTAACGGGATTTTGTGCGATTTCAATTTGGAGCATCGCACTTTCAATACCGAATTATCTTCACTGTAGCTGCACATTGGCGGGGTCGGACGACGGCTCACAAATTTCACAGGTCCCGATGAATCCCGCTCCAGAACATCCGGTACCGTAGTAACAATAAAGCACAATAAGAGAAACCCGTTAAAAAGAAAGATAATCATATCTGCAACAGAATTAGCAAAAATGTACGCTTATAAACTTTGCTTGAACTATGCCGCAACTAGATAATTAATCGATCGCAAAAGTGCAATATTTGCGATTTCCTTTTAAGTGCGCTACATTATCATTTATAGTATTCACGCAATATCTTTCCATCTCTCTCTATTACATTTTGAATTATATATTTGTTATATGATATGTTATATATTATATTCTATAATTTATATATATTTTATTATTATATATTATCAAGAACAGCAAAAGTAGACGACCAGACTGGTTACAATTCAGATCTTTATTGTTGACACATTCGACCGACAATTACGGTCAATTGTCTACAATTAATATATCTAAATTAAATACTAAAAATGTGACAATTGGTAATAAAAATTGATAGTAAAAAATAAAGTTTTAATACATGACTACGATATTACACATATATGCCGATAAACCTAAACGTGAGTAGTATAAACATTACAATCAATCTAATTAAAAATGATATGAATTTCCGTGACAATATAATAAAGTATCAAGCATTGAAACTGTATCCCGGTATGCAAGATACAAATTAAACGAAAAGAAACAAAAGAAAGCGAAATGGTTGTGCTGTATGACAAAAATAAATAAAAAAAAGACCTACAGTAGTTGTAAAAGCGAAATGATAAAAATGTGTCACATTACCTAAAGAAAATTAGTCAACTTAAACACACCACAAAACTTTATTTTATTACACAGGTACGTTGAAATTAAGTCGTGTGGTGAGTCGAGAGACGATGTGTATCGAACGAGATTTCAATACGTACTAAATTCTCTGTGTTGGTATCAAAACAATAGCAGTGACTTAGAGAGATATATTATTTCGAGGGAAGCGTATATGATATTAAGAATCGAATCGTATATTAAATTTAAATTGTTTGTGTCTTTTTTTAAATTTATGGAACCTTTATATATTTTTATGAAGATCGTTTCCACAATATCTCTTCTCTTGTAATGCGTTTCTGTAGAATAAAGAAAGGTTGCCAGTTTAATCATGCTTGAAAATTATATATTATACATACAGAAGTCAGTGCGCAAAACAAATTCACTCTTTATTCAATTATCGAACGTTTCGACCATTTTTTGTGGTCATATTCAGCGTACAATAAAAAACGAGTTACATTCTTGTTTATATGATATAAATTCATGATTGCAAACGCCAGTTGTAAGTAAAAATTAAGTATTACCCCTAGCAATTGTAAGACACGAAATCAATAATTTTAAAAAATTGTCGCAAAACAAATTGCTATTACATCAACAAAAAGCACGCGACGACATTGAGCGGTCGGTTTTCATTTGACCGGCATCGAAGAAATTAACGCCGACATTTCTTCCTACATATATCGCCGCCTAGAGTATATATAATATTTGTTCAAACACGCAGAGAGTTTCTCGAAAATTTTGTCACATTCACATAGATTTTTATATAAAAATATCGTTAACCATTATATACGCGAACACAATATAATAACATTTATAATTTTTCTTATAAGTTAACGCATTTATGTCATATTAATCTCCGCGGAACTGTCTTCATCATTATTTTTTGTTATATATAAAGCCTGCTTTCACATTTTTTTCCATTCAAAATCTAAAATATTTTACAAGAATAAGTACCATGAAAATCCAACGTATTTTATTCGATATCTCCGGTTTCTGGATCATAATTGATATCGCTTTTGTTGATTATATTGTCTTTGTTCAAGAAACTATAAATAATATGTACCTTATTCTTTTCAAGAAGCAATATATTTTCAAAAAATGGCAAACGTGCCAAGAGCAGCATTTGAACTATTACAATAATCTAATGTTTAGTGAACATTACGCGATATGTATTAATGATAATCAGATACAAACTTAGGCCCGTAAATATATATCCGATTAATGTCTCTGTGAATCTTTAGTCGATTAAACTCTTTCAATAAACACCAGTTCAATAAACAACAGTTATTTCTCTCTTTTTTTCTTACTTATATATACTTATATATTTTATAGATTTTCAACCCTACTCGTATTTTCTGGCACTAAACACAGGGTCGACCGTAATAAATTGTTAAACGGGTATTTAAGCGTCTATGCAAAAATAACATTATAACAGATTTTTCAGACCTTGTTTCCGGATGAATAATTTTTTCTATTGTAAGAGGTCCCAAGACATACCGCTATGCTTGTAATTTATTTAGACGTCAAAAGGCCTTAATGGGTCTATGTCCGGATATATGTAAATATCTTGTTGAACAGAATTATTGAGGGCCTTGTTATTTAACAAATAAAATATTAAATTTCGTTCGCCAGGAATGAAATACTAAGGTAGTAGATATTAAACTGACTACACTGGCTGTCTATTCGATTTGTTAAACTATATTTATTGACGTTTCGACCATACGGGTTGTGGTCCTTTTCAAAATTACAATAGAAGCATTCTAGAAATTAATGTACATGCAATCAGAATCAACATTTAAATTGAAAACGTGAAATGTAACAAATGAGACTTACAATGAGTTACTGCATATCGTTATTGACATTTAAAAGTACGCTCCGATGAGACTTAACTTAAGATCGGATGGTAAATTAACTGCGTTTCACTTGTGTCATCTTGCTACGACTGAGCACACTGTACTAACGAATAAACACGCCGAAAATTATGTCAAAGTTAAAAGTTAACAATATTTACATTCTCGCTAAATTGTGATGTACCATATGGCAAATTACTAAAATAAAATATAAAAAATGAAAAATAAAATATAAAAAGTATAAGATAATAAAAAGACAAATAAATAAATAAATAAATATATTCGGTTCGCTTATGTCATCCTGCCTTAACATACCAATAATAAACTACTAATAATAGCTCCCAACAATGTATGTTAAAAATTTTTTACTTCAATTTCTAAACAAACTGTCATATATCGTACTAAAGCTTTCAGTGTCTTTCTGTAAATTGATAGTGGAATTCAATTTCTTGATAAAGTACATTTCGGCTATTTCTCTTTTTCTTCTATTGTTTTCTTTATGCAGAATTAAAGGATTCGACCAATCAAATTCATGTCCTTGATTAATTCTGTGCTCACTAACAACAGAAAAATTGCTCGCTGAATTTTTAATATTACGTCGGTGTTCGTTAATCCTAGTACTGAGATGTCTTTTTGTCTGCCCTACATAATTAGAATCACAATTGTTACAATTAATACAATAGACTACGCCGGTTTGCTTATTAATATCTAAATTATCTTTCCCCGATTTTATTAAACAGTTCAGTTTTTGGGGATGGTAAAAATTACGTTAAGGTTCTTTTTGTTTAGAAATCTATATATGTCATTAGTGAACCGATTACAATATGGAATGACGATGAAATTTTCCCTCGAAACATCCGTCGAATCTACATTTATAATTTTTTTATCCTTATTGTTTATAGGTTGTGACAGCTTGTGGGTTCTATCATTGACATATTTATTAATGAGATTTTCCGGGAAGCAATTATTTTTCAAAATATTCTTTACAATTTTTAAATTAGAGTCATGAAACCGTTTGTTAGATAAAATTATTGCATGGTCAACTAAATTGGTAATGGTGTTAATTTTATATTTCGTCGGATGATTCGAGAAAAAATTGATGTATCTTCCTGAGAATGTTGGTTTTCTGTACCAGTTAGTTATGAGCTTATTATCATCCCTGTGGACAATTGTATTCAAAAAGCTGAGAGAATTATTAGTTTCAATCTCATAAGTAAAAGTTAGTCTTGGGTGATAGCTATTAAACACCTCGCTCACCTCTAACAGTTTATCGTTAGGAAGGATCATGAATATGTCATCTACATATCTATAGAAACAAGATGTTTCGAAACCAAGCAAGGACAAACAATCCGTTTCAAGATCCTCCATTACGATATTTGCGAGTATGGGGGAGAGAGGTGAGCCCATTGGACTCCCATAAATCTGTTCATAAGCTATCCCATTAAACATGAAACTAGTTGAACACAATATTGCATCAATCGCATGCCTGAACTGTTGAAAACAAAATTAGTATGTCCCGATATCTCATTCCATCTCTTTTCTATACCTTTTATGACTAGTTCCTTCGGAATATTAGTGTAGAGTGAAGAGACCTCCAACGACACCATTATATCGGTTGACTCTATGGTTTTATTATTTATTGATTTGACGAACTCCCAACTATCTTTGACGAACGATCGAGGTTTTTGAATTGAATTTAGTAAGATAGAGTGTAAATAATTTGCCATCATATACGTTGGACTCCCAATAGAAGAGATGATAATTCTTAAGGGGGTTCCCGCTTTGTGGATCTTCGGCAATCCATATGCTCTCGGAGTGTTCCCGTTCGTGCATTTTAAATTATTAAGAGTACGTTCATCAATTAAGTTGTTCTTTTGCCAAGATTTTAATAAGTCGTTAATTCTTTGAGATACATTGTTTATCGGGTCTTTTTTCATGATTTTATATGTCGATGTGTCACTCAACAATTCAGTCATCTGACGCACGTATTTGTCCTTGTTCATAATGACAGTGACTTGTCCCTTATCCGCTCGCGTTACAAAAATATCTTTGTTGTCATTTAAAAACTTTTTACACTTTGAGAATTCGATTAGAATATGTCTATTTATAAAATCTTGATGTTTTCTTTTGTTTTTAAGTCTATTCAAAGAATTAGCGATGCAGTTACGCGTATCATTCAGTAGGTTGCCCTTCAGTCGGTGGCTATTTAATTCAAAGTTTTTATTACGTTAAGAGCAAATAACTCAGAATCTTTTTCACTATTATGATTAAACGGCAATCCGAATTTTCCCCTAAGCTCAGAAACCTAAGTGTGTTCTCTGGTACTACTTTATCAGAATTATTAATTATCCATTTATTATAATCGAAATTGAAAAACCCACTATATAACTTATTTTGACGATTGAGAAGCAGATCAAATTTTTAATTAATTTACCTTTAATTATATTTTTATGTTTTAGAACTTTTAGATTCTGTAATTCTTTTAAACTCTTTAAATAATTTATTCGGTAGCGCAGTTTGCAGATTCCTTTCTAATTGTCTGCTTCTTACATTAGAACGATTTAAGAAAAAGTTAATGTCCTTAATTTCTAGGTTCAAAATAAGTTGTTTGCCACGCGATACAAATGTGGAAAACCTTCGATTAACAAGATTATTCTGAAACCGTACTCTAAAATTCAAATTATGAATATGCGGTGGAAGCACGTCGAACCTTCTACACCGAAGCAAGAAGATGAGTTGTTGTTTAGTTGTAGAAATCTTCAAATTCAATCCCATCCACTGTTTCAAAAGCTGAGTCTGTTGCTTTCCATAATGTAACGTGATCAAACTGAATCCACCATCCCCAAAAAACTGAACTGTTTAATAAAATCGGGGAAAGATAATTTAGATATTAATAAGCAAACCGGCGTAGTCTATTGTATTAATTGTAACAATTGTGATTCTAATTATGTAGGGCAGACAAAAAGACATCTCAGTACTAGGATTAACGAACACCGACGTAATATTAAAATTCAGCGAGCAATTTTTCTGTTGTTAGTGAGCACAGAATTAATCAAGGACATGAATTTGATTGGTCGAATCCTTTAATTCTGCATAAAGAAAACAATAGAAGAAAAAGAGAAATAGCCGAAATGTACTTTATCAAGAAATTGAATTCCACTATCAATTTACAGAAAGACACTGAAAGCTTTAGTACGATATATGACAGTTTGTTTAGAAATTGAAGTAAAAAATTTTTAACATACATTGTTGGGAGCTATTATTAGTAGTTTATTATTGGTATGTTAAGGCAGGATGACATAAGCGAACCGAATATATTTATTTATTTATTTATTTGTCTTTTTATTATCTATACTTTTTATATTTTATTTTTCATTTTTATATTTTATTTTAGTAATTTGCCATATGGTACATCACAATTTAGCGAGAATGTAAATATTGTTAACTTTTAACTTTGACATAATTTTCGGCGTGTTTATTCGTTAGTACAGTGTGCTCAGTCGTAGCAAGATGACACAAGTGAAACGCAGTTAATTTACCATCCGATCTTAAGTTAAGTCTCACCGGAGCGTACTTTTAAATGTCAATAACGATATGCAGTAACTCATTGTAAGTCTCATTTGTTACATTTCACGTTTTCAATTTAAATGTTGATTCTGATTGCATGTACATTAATTTCTAGAATGCTTCTATTGTAATTTTGAAAAGGACCACAACCCGTATGGTCGAAACGTCAATAAATATAGTTTAACAAATCGAATAGACAGCCAGTGTAGTCAGTTTAATATCTACTACCTTAACAAATAAATTTTATTGTGTCGTAAATAATTTTAGAGTTTGCAACCCTACTCGGAAAATTCTATTCTTGCGCAAAATTCTACTCTCGCATATGTCGACGCCAGAAACAGCCCTTTTAACAGAATTCTACGTTCTATAAACAATTATTTCACTAATAATCGTCCGGTTGCTGTTGGAACAGTTTGGTGATGTCCACGACTTGTGCACGATGAACAACGCCACGAAAATCATGAAAAGGAACACCGAGACGGTTATCCAGACCGATCGAGGCTTCTCGGTTTCCATCTTCTGCTGTCTCATTGCCAAGCACTCGTTGAACAACTTGTGAGTCCGATTGCTGAATCTCACTTTGGCGCAGTCCTTGTTCAGAGCTGCTGGTGGATCGGTGCAGTTGTAAAAATTGGGCTTCGTCTTGATTTGTCGTAGCTTCACCCAGGCGTTGAACGCCTGACAATCACAGCTGCTCGCGTTGAATCTGATTCTATTTCCGGTCAGATAGAGCTTTTTCAGCGAGCAAAAGGGCGCCAGATCTTCGGTGCTGATCGAGGTGATGTAGTTGTAGGACACGTCGAGATAAAAGAGGGTCGGCTGGACGCCTATGTTCGGGATCACGTTTAGTAAGTTATTGTTTAGCTGGAGCAGTCTGAGAGGCGAGGTGACGTTGAACACAAAATCGGAGATCATGTTGTGGCCGAGATAGAGCGTGTGAAGATACGGCAACTGGAAGAGACTTTTGGGCAGATAGTTGATAATGTCGGACGTGAGATCCAGCACTTCCAGGTAAGGCTGATTGGCAAAGAATGCCTCGTCAATTTCATTAAGCACAGAGTAACGTAGAGAAATGGCGACGAGCTTCTTGTAAGGATGTAGACTTTTGTTAGTCAAGTGATCCAACATGTTCCCGGTAATATTGAGCACCTAGCAAACAGAGGAGGAACATCAGGAGTGTTATCAGAGATGAAACGTACACAGGGTGGGCGATTTTAATCGATCCACGCGAATATCTTTTAAACAATGCATTTTAGAATATTTCTTACAAAAGTTTTTTTACTTTGAGAGGAATATAAGATTCGAGCAAATTTATTACAATTTTATTTATAACTTATAAATCATAATTTCATAATTATTGTAAAAAAATAAAAAATAAAATAGAGTTTCACGGATTTTTACAACTCGTTACAAATTTCTCTATTTTAAAAAATCCTCACAATATATTATATATATACAGAAAAATTCTTTTATAATGGTAAAAATATACATAACAATTATATTATTGCAATTTTAAATAAAGTATATTTAAACGACATTCTCACCTGTATGTCCGGATTCAAATCTAACAAGATTTTTGCGAGTGCAATTGGCATCGCGCCTCCAATAACGAATTAGCTTTGATGTAGTGGCACTGGTTCATTATTTCCGCGGATTCCAATGAATCCATGAAAATATCCGGTACTGGGGCTACGGCGAAGCCCAGTAAAAGAAACCCGTTGAAGAGAAAGATTCTCATATCTGCAACAGAATCAGCGCAAACGTACGCTTATAAACTTTGCCCAATTTTTTCTGCAATCGAATATATAATCGCTCGCTCGCGAAGGTGCAATATTTGGGATTTCCTCTTTACACCGCCACATTATCATTTATGGTATTTTAGTATCACGCAACATCTCTCCATCTCTCCTTATTTAATTTTAAATTATATATTTGTAATATAATATATTACATATCATTTGATATTTTACATATATTTTATTATTATATTTTATCAAGGACAGCGAAAGACTAGCTACGATTTAGATGTTTATTGTTGACACTGACAATTTCCGTCAAGTGTCTATAATTAATACATCTAAATTATAATACTAAAAATATGACAATTAGTAATAAAAATTGATAGTAAAAAATAAAATTTAATACATAACTAAGATATTACACATATATCGCGATAAATATAAGCATGTGTGATATAAACATTACAATCAATCTAATTAAAAATTATATGAATTTTCGTGACAATTAAATAAAGAATCGAAGATTGAAATTGTATACCGGCATACAAGATACAAATAATCGAAAAGAAACGAAGAGAGAGTGAAAATAATCGTGCGCGTATGATAAAGTAAGAGTAGGCACTATAGTAGTTATTTAAAAAGCGAAGTGATAAAAATGTATCATATATTATCTAGAGTAAACTAGATAACTTAAACACACAACAGAACTTTATTTCATTGCACAAGCACGTTCAAAATAAGTCGTTACTGTGATGCGTCGTTGAGAGACGATGTGTACAGATCCAGCATTCTATAACTTTACGTACTAAACTTTATATGATATTAAGAATCGAATTGTATATTGAATTCAAATTGTCTGTGTCTTTTTGTAAATTGGATTAAGTCTTTATGCGTTTTTATAAAGATCATTTCCTAATCTCTTATCTCTTGTAATGCGGTTCTGTATGTAAAATGAAGAGAGATTGCCAGTTAAAATCATGATTGAATGTTATATATTATATATATATAAGTTATATAATATTATATATATATACATATATATATATATATATATATATGTATATATAGATGTATGTATGTATATATATTATATATATATATATATATATATATATATATATATATAATATCTATATCATATATATAAGAACAAACATATATTATATTTTATATTTTATTTTATAATGTATTCAATGTATTCTATATTATTTTACATGCTAAATATATCTAGGATATTTTTTGTGAACTCCAAATTATTCAAACGATACTTTCCTACTTTAAAAATCCGTTTTTATAAGAAGATAAAAAAAAGGAACAAAATAAGGATGGGCTTAAATGAGCAAGTTAAAGGAAGTTAATTAAAAAATGGCCGGTGAAATAATTAAAAAAAAAATTTTTTGCGCTACTACGATATTTCCGTAATCTAATTAAGTATCATTTGATGTTTTATATATTTTATTATATATTATCAAGACAGCAATGTAGACGACCAGGCTGACTATATTCAGGTTTATTGTTGGCATAACATTTAGACCGACAATTTCGTCCTTATCAAGTATCTTAATAATACAATATAAGTTTATTAATTAAATACAAAAAATACGACAATCAGGAATAAAAATTGACAGTAAAAAATAAAGTACTAAAACATGACTAAAGTATTACACATATATCGCGATAAATCTAAACGTGTATAATATGAACATTACAATCAATTTAATTAAAAATAATACGGATTTCCGTGACAATATAATAAAGTATCGAACACTGAAATTGTATTCCGGCATGCAAGGTACAAACTAAACAAAAAGGAACGATAAGAGAGCAAAAATTATTGTGTGCGTATAACAAAGATAAATAAAGAGTAAGCACTATAGTAGTTATAAAAGCAAAGTGATAAAAATGTGTCGTATTATCTAGAGTAAATTAGATAACTTAAACACACCACGGAACTTTATTTCATTGCACAAGCACGTTTAAAATAAGTCGTTACTGTGATGCATCGTTGAAAGACGATGTGTGCAGATCGAGCATTCTATAAGTACTAAACTTTCTAATGCGTTTCTGTATGTAGAATGAAGGGAGATTGCCAGTTAAAATCTTTGAATATTATATATTATATATATATTATTGAATGTTATATAAATCATTATTTTATAATGTATTCTATATTATTTTACTTGCTAAATATATCAAGTATATTTTTTGTGAACCTCAAATCATTCAATCGATACTTTTCTATTTTAAAAATCCGTTTTTATAAAAAGATAGGAAAAAAAGAACGAAATGAGGATGGGCTTAAATGAGCAAGTTAAACGAAGTTAATTAGCCGGCGACATATTTTCAATAAAAAATTTTTTTACCCTCCGATAATTCTGTAATCCGATTAAGTATCATTTGGAAGGGAAAAAGGAAGTGAGAGAAATAGAGAGAGAGAGAGAGAGAGAGAGACGATTAAAAAATCATAATAGCTTCAGCTTCTGCAATCACATTTTTGTGAGTTTCGAGTGCTTTTGAAGAGACGAAATCGTATTTCTTTAGTTGCGTATTCCGACATTTAGAAGGTGAACTATCCCCTTAAAAAATATTAGTTTTTTTATTTCAGAGCTAATACCATCAAAACGGTAAAAGATATAAAAAATTTTTCAAATAAAAGTTATATGGTTTGTAATGCTTATGGGTTTTATTCGTTACAAACATGATGATTGTGAAAGAAATAATTTATACAAAGAGATTTTTCTTGTTGATTTTCCTTGATAGGCTCTACTTTTCTTACTTGAAACATATTTCCTCATTCTCAATTTACATATATGTAAATTATTTATTGTTACACAATTGTTCTACAATATTAAGTATTTAAAAAATAAAGGTTTTAATATATAAATTTTATTTGTTTTTATAAATTTTTATATTTATAAATATATAAATTCTTACAAATTTAATTATTAAATATATATATACATTTATACAATTATTAATTGTTAAATATAATATACATACATAAATTGCAATATGTAAATTTGAAAGACAGAAAAAGACAGTTATCACAAATAGCGAGCGTCTAGCAGATTCTAATGGAGTGCGTATAATGACATTATTAGTTTAGTTCTACAAAATGGATTGTTAAAATACAACTTGAAATGTTATTCCGAACGTCTGAACTAGTCATATTTTAATACAACACAATATCTGCAATAATATTGTGAATTTGTAAAAACTAGATATAAATTAATTTTAAAATTTCTTAAATCACATTTATGTTGAAATTTTTTAATAGTCAGAATATTACTTCAAATGCTTGAAAAGGCAAGTTTTTGCTTAAAGTCTTTTAAATATATTTTTTGCCAAGTTTTTGCAAAATTCCTTTTTATGCGACTAGCAACACAAGCGCGCGCCATTAATGTTATTTTAATTTTTTTTATCACACATATATTGCAAGACTTCTTATGCAACTAATTTTTAAACTTCTTAAATAAATTTAATTTTAAATAATTTTTAGATTTTTTTTATGCGAACTATCAATTTACAAATAATGACAGTTGCTCAAAACATGAACTGAGCGCATTGAAAGAACCAATCGGCATCACGGAAAAACGGCAACAATTAAAGCGTCACATGTCTTTATTTCAAATAGAATGTGTCCATCAAGTAAAAAAACAAAAAAGTTTATATATAGAAAAACTTACTTTTGAGCATATCCTCTGAAATTGCTTGCACGTGGAACTAAAATTCTCAACATCCAGTTAATAGTTACGTTATTTAAAATTATTAAAATAATTTCGGTAAGCAAATACTTTATTGTAACTATTATTTATGCGACAAAAATATATATAATAAACACAAATACAATATAAAAACAACTTGCAGTTTGAGTTTTTCTTAATGACTCGAATGATTTTCTATGCACTAACGCACGAGGCTTAGAGTATCGTGGACAGCTATAGACTGGGAATGACCAAATGCCTAAAGTGGTAGGGACAAAGGAAAGAGATAAAATAAAAGTTTTTTTATCTTTCATTCTTGTTTTCACAACGATACTTCTTCGGCCGTACCCTGAAAATTTTTGGTCTAGCTTCTTTATTTGTGGGAAAAAATTCATTTTCTTTTGTATAATTTTCAGGTCTCGTTCTATTGTTTGCATTATACTATAGACTATGAATTATCTGCGTCATAAAATAATAGCAATTTTTGCTTGCACCTAAGTTATTTCTGTTACAACTTATTGCAGAAAAGATTCTTTCATAATGGAAAAAAATACACTGACTATTTTTTATTGCAATTGTAAGGAAGATATATTTAAACGACAATCTCACCTGTATGTCCGCCTTCTAATCTAATGGAATTTTGTGCATTTCCAGTTTCGAATAAATTTAATTATAATATTATTTATAACTTATAAGTCATAATTTTATAATAATTGTAAAAAAAGAAATAATAAAATTGAGTCTCATGGATTACTACAACTCGTTATAAATTCTTCTATTTTACGCAAACTGTCAATAAGATTTAAAAAAGATTCTCGCAATATACATATGCAAAAAATATTCTTTTATAATGACAAAAATATACATGACAATTATTTTATTGAAATTTCAAGTAAAATATATTTAAACGACAATCTCGTGCAATTATAGATTTAAGTAAATTTTATTATATTATTTTTAATTTATAAATCTTAATTTCATAATTATTGTCAAAAAAATAACACGGAATCTCACGAATTTTTAAAAAACGTTATGGATTCCTCCATTTTGTGCGGATTGTATTAGAGAAGATTAAAAAAAGATCTTCGCGATATATGCAAAAAATATTCTTTTATAATGACAAAAACATACATGGCAGTTATTTTATTGCAATTTTAGGCAAAAAATATTTAAACGACAATCTTACTTGTATGTCCGCTTTCAAATTTATAGGAATTTTTTTAAATTTTTGATTGGAGCATTGAGCTTTCAGTACTGAATTAGCTCTGCTGTAGTTGCACATCGTCGGAGGCGGATTCTTGTTTACAATTTTCGTGGTTTTTGGTGTACCCAGTACCAGATTATCCGGTACCGTGATTATGGCGAAGCCTAGTAAGAAGAATCCGTTAATGAGATAGATGCTCATATCTGCAACAGAATCAGCGGAAACATACGCTTATAAACTTTGCCTAAACTTTCCGGCAATTGGATAATTAATCCCTCGCGAAGATACAATATTTGAGATTCCCTTTTTACACCGCCTCATTATCATTTATAATATTTTAATATTACGCAATATATCCCCATCTCTTTCTATTACTTTTTAAATTAGATATTTGTCTCGGAAGAGTCTTCTTCACCGATTTATATATTATGTTATATATTATTTTATATTTATATATATTTTATTATTATATATTATCAAGGACAGCAAAAATAGACGACCAGACTAGCTACAATTCAAGTGTTATTGTTGACACATTTAATCGACTATTCCAGTCAAATGTCTACACTTAATACATATAAATTAAATACACAAAATATGACAATTAGTAATAAAAATTGATTATAAAAAATAAAGTATTAAAATATTACACATATAACGCGATAAACCTAGGCGTGTGTTGTATGAACATTACAATCAATCTAATTAAAAATGATATAAATTTCCGTAACAATATAATAAATTATCGAACATTATAATTGTGTACCGGCATGCAAGATACAAAATAAATAAAAAGAAACGAAAAAGGACCGGAAATGATCGTGCGCGTATGATATAACAGTAAACACTATAGTAGTTATAAAAGCAAAATGATAAAAATGTGTCACATTATCTAGAGAAAATTAGTCAACTTAAATACACCACAGAACTTTACTTTATTACACAGATACGTTAAAATTAAGTCGTGTAATGAGTTGAGAGACGATGTGTGTCGATCGAGAATTCAATACGTATTAAGTTTATGTGTTGGTATTAAAACAATAACAGTGAACAAGAGAGGTATAGCTGTTTCGGGAAAACTGTATATGATATTAAGAATCAAATCGTATATTGAATTTTTAAATTGTCTGTGCTTTTCTGTAAATTCATGGAGTCTTTATGCATTATTATAAAGACCGTTTTCGCAATATCTCTTTTTATGTAATGCGTTTCTGTAGAATGGAGAAAGATTGCCAGTCAAAATCATAATGGAAAGTTATATATTATATCTACAGAAATCAATGCGCAAAACAAATTTACTCTTTATTCAATTTTTGAACGTTTCGACCATTTTTTGTGGTCATTTACAGTGTATAATAAAAAACGACTTAAATTCTTATAGATATAAATTTATGGTTGCAAACGCCAGTTGTACGAAAAAATTAAGTATTACCGCTAACAATTGTAAGACACGGAGTCAATAATTTTAAAAAACTGTTGCAAAACAAATCGCTATTACATCGATAAAAAGCACGCGACGACATTGAGCGATCGGCTTTCGAAGAGTTTATTTGACCGACATCAAAGAAATTAACGCCGACATTTCTTCGTACATATATCGCTGTCAAGAGTATATAATATTAAAAGTGATATAATATTCGTTTAAATACGCAAAGAATTTTTCGAAAATTCCGCACATTTACATAGATTTTTATATAAAAATATCGTAAGCATTATGTTCGCGAACACAATATAATAACATTGATAAATTTTTTATAAGTTAACGTGTTTATAATTTATGTAAATATATTAATCTTCGCGGAAGAGTCTTCTTCACCGATTACTCTCATTAAAACCTGCTTTCTCATTTTCTTTTTTCATTCAAAATCTAAAGTAATTTTCAACAATAAGTACCATTAACAATCCAACTCATTTTATTAGACATTTTCGGTTTCTAGATGATAATTAATAACGCTTTTGTTGATCATGACGAAAACTGTACAAAAGGCTATTAGCTGTTGCTGCTCTTAATGCCTTCTGCGCAGCCTACGGTACCGCTTGTACACGCAAAACAACGCCACAAAGACCACGATGAGGTACACCGAGATCCACGAAACGACGTGTATCCAGACCGTTCCAACTTCCTCGGTCTCCATCTTCTGCGGTATCATGGCCGAGCACTCGTTGAACAGCTCGTATGTCCGATTGCTGAATCTCACGTTGGCACAGTTCTTGTTCAGAGCTGCTGGTGGATTGGTGCATTTGTAAAAATTAGGCTTCATCTTGATTTGTCGTAGCTTTACCCAGGCGTTAAACTCCTGACAATCACAGCTGCTCGCGGTAAATCTGATTGTATTTCCGGTCAAATCGAGCTCTTTCAGCGAGCAGAAAGGCGCCAGATCCTCGGTGCTGATCCAGGTGATTTTGTTGTCGGACACGTTGAGATTAAGGAGAGTCGGCTGAACGCTTATGTTCGGAATCACGGTTAAAAAGTTTTTGGATAGCTGCAGCAGTCTGAGGGGCGAGGTCACGTTTATCTTGAACACGAGATCGGAAAGCCTGTTGTGGTCGAGGTAAAGCGTGCGAAGAGACGGCAATTGGAAGAGACTTTTGGGGAGAGTGTAGCAAAAATTTTGCGACAGATCCAGCACCTGCAGGTAAGACTGATTGGCGAAAGCTGCTTCTTCAATGTTAATAATCCAATTGTTACGTAGATAGATAAAGATCAGCTCTTTGTAAGGATGCAGACTGTCGTTCTTCAGTTCGATCAAGTGGCTCTCAATAATATCCAGTACCTAGCAAACAGAGGAGGAACGTCAGAAGTGTCATCAGGGATTAAACGTATATAAAGTGGGCGATTTTAATCGATCCACGCGAATATCATTTGAGCGATGCATTTTAGAATGCTTTATACAAAATTTTTTTTTTATTTTAAAAGAAATATAAGATGGTGTCATTGGTTTGACTTTGCATGGTCACTTAAAGATCACATAAAGGTCATCTTCCATTTCTTAAATGGAAGTAATTCCAAATATATGCATTGAAACTTAAAAGTTTTCATTTAAGAAATTGAAGATAACATTTAAAGGACCATCAAAAGTCAAATATATGATATAAAATTTTTTATAGAAAATTAAATTAAACATAAACTTATATTGAATAATTATATTTAAAGATTTATGATATTGTTTTAATTTGTAATTCTTAATTTCCCATATTTAAATAAAAGTGAAACAAAGTTTCGTGGATTTTTAGAACTCGTTAATACGAATTTCTCTATTTCATGCGCGAGTTGCAGATAAGATAAAGAAAGTCATTATGTATGCAGTAAATATTATTTTCTAATGGAAAAAAACACATGACTATTTTTTTATAACAATTTTAAATAAGATATATTTTTATACAACAGTCTCATCTTTATGTCCGTCATCAAATCTAATTGGATTTCGAGCAATTTTAGATATAAGTAGATTTTATTATATTATATTTAATTCATAAATCTTAATTTCATAACTATTGTCAAAAGAATAAAACAAAGTCTCACGGATTTTTAAAACACGTTATGAATTCCTTTATTTTATGCAAATTGGAGATAAGATAAAGAAAAGATTATAGCGATATATGCAAAAAATATTCTTTTATAATAGCAAAAGCATACCTGACAATTTTCTATTGCGATTTTATGTAAAATATATTTTTATTCATATTTGAACGATAATTTTACCTGTATGTCCGCCTTCAAATCTAACGGAATTTCGTGCGATTTTAATTTGGAGCACCGCGCTTTCAATTTCGAATTAGTTCTACTGTAGTTGCACATAGTCGCTAGCGGATTCTGGTCCATTATTTTCGCGACTTCCGGTGAATCCAGTACCAGAACATCCGGTACTGTGACGACGACGAAGCACAGTAAGAAGAATCCGTTAATGAGAAAGATGTTCATATCTGGAAAAGAATCAGCAGAAATGTATGTTTATAAACTTTGTTCAAACTTTGCCGAAACCGGATAATTAATTGGTCGCAAAAGTGCAATATTTGCGATTCCCCTATTACATCGCAATATTATCATTTATAGTATATTAATATCACGGAATATCTCTCCATCTTTCTCTATCACTTTTTAAATTATAAATTTGTCATATAATATGTGCTATACTATTTTATATTTTATTATTATACATATATTATCAAAGACACCGAAAGTAAGCGACCAGACTGATTACAATTCAGATGTTTATTGTTGATACATTCAACCGACAATTTCGGTCAAGTGTCAACAATTAATATATCTAAATTAAATACACAAAATATGACACTTAATAATAAAAATTTATTATAAAAAATAAAATTTTAATACATGACTACGATATTACACATATATGCCGATAAACCTAGACGTGTGTGGTATGAACATTACAATTAATCTAATTATAAATGATATGAATTTCCGTAACAATATAATAAAGTATCAAGCATTGAAACTGTATACCGGTATGCAAAATACAAATTACACGAAAAGGAAGGAAAAAAAAGCGAAAATAGTTGTGCGCGTATGACAAAAATAAATAAAGAGTAGGACCTACAGTAGTTATAAAAGCGAAATGATAAAAATGTGTCACATTACCTAGAGAAAATTAGTCAACTTAAACACACCACAAAACTTTATTTTATTACACAAGTACGTTGAAATTAAATCGTGTGGTGAGTCGAGAGACGATGTGTATCGAACGAGAATTCAATACGTACTAAATTCTCTGTGTTGGTATCAAAACAATAGCAGTGACTTACAGAGGTATAGCTGTTTCGGAGAAACTGTATATGATATTAAGAATTGAATCGTATATTAAATTTAAATTGTCTGTCTTTTTTTAAATTTATGGAACCTTTATACATTTTTATGAAGATTGTTTCCACAATATCTCTTCTCTTGTAATGCGTTTCTGCTAGTTTAATCATGCTTGAAAATTATATATTATACATACAGAAGTCAGTGCGCAAAACAAATTCACTCTTTATTCAATTTTCGAACGTTTCGAACCATTTTTTGTCGTCATATTCAGCGTACAATAAAAAATGAGTTACATTCTTGTCTATATGATATAAATTCATAATTGCAAACGCCAGTTGTAAGTAAAATGAAGTATTACCCCTAGCAATCGTAAGACACGAAGTCAATAATTCTAAAAAATTGTCGCAAAACAAATGGCTATTACATCAACAAAAAGCGCGCGACGACAATGAGCGATCGGTTTTCATTTGACCGGCATCGAAGAAATTAACGCCGACATTTCTTCCTTCATATATCGCCGTCTAGAATATAGTATAATATTCGTTCACACACGCAGAGAGTTTCTCGAAAATTTTGCCACATTTACATAGATTTTTATATAAAAATATCGTCAACCATTATATACGCGAACACAATATAATAACATTTATAAATTTTTCTTATAAGTTAACACGTTCATATCATATTAATATCCGCGGAACTGTCTTCATCATTAATTATTTTTGTTATATATAAAGCCTGCTTTCACATTTTTTTCCATTAAAAGTCTAAAATATTTTACAACAATAAGTACCATGAAAAGTCCAACGTATTTTATTCGATATCTCCGGTTTCTGAATCATAATTGATATCGCTTTTGTTGGTTATATTGTCTTTGTTCAAAAAACTATAAAATATATGTACCTCACTCCTTTCAGAAAGCAATATATTTTTCAAAAAATGGCATACGTGTCAAGAGCAGCATTTGAACTATTACAATAATCTTATGTTTAGTGTACATTACGCAATATGTATTAATGATGATCAAATACAAACTTAAGCACGTAGATATATATATCCGATTAAATTCTTTGTGAATCCTCAGTCGATTAAACTCTTTCAATAAACACCAGTTCAATGAACAACAGTTACTTTTCTCTTTTTTTCTTACTTATATATACTTATATATTTTATAGATTTTCAACCCTACTCGTATTTTCTAGCACCAAACACAGGGTCGACCGTAATAAATTGTTAAACGGGTATTTAAGCGTCTATGCAAAAATAACATTATAAACAGATTTTTTCAGATCTTGTTTCCGAATGAATAATTTTTTTCTATTGTAAGAGTTCCCAAGAAATACCGCTATGATTGTAATTTATTTAATTAGACGTCAAAAAGGCCTTAATGGGTCTATGTCCGGATATATGTAAATATCTTGTTGAACAGAATTATTGCGGGCCTTGTTATTTAACAAATAAATTTTATTCTGTCGTAAATAATTTAAGAGTTTGCAACCCTACTCGGAAAATTCTATTCTCACGCAAAATTCTACTCTCGCATATTGTCGACGCCAGAAACAGCCCTTTTAACAGGATTCTACGTTTATTCGGCGATTATTTCACTAATCATCGTCAGGTTGCTGTTGGAATAGTTTGGTGTTGTCGTAGATCGCCGTTAGCTGCTCCTCCTGCTTTATGTGCCGCCTACGGTATCGCTTGTGCACGAACAACGCTAGGAAGAAGAACACCGAGACGCACGGGGCGACGCTTCTTCAGACCAATCGAGGCTTTCGCGGTCTTCATCTTCTGTTGTGCCATTGCCAAGCACTCGTTGAACAGCTTGTGCGTCCGATCGCTGAATGTCACTTTGGCGCAGTCCTTGTTTAGAGTTGCTGGTGGATCGATGCATTTGTAGAGATCGGGCTTCATCTTGATCTGTCGTAGCTTCACCCAGACGTTGAACGCCTGACAATCACAGCTGCTCGCGTTGAATCTGATTCTATTTCCGGTCAGATCGAGCTTTTTCAGCGAGCAGAAGGGAGCCAGATCCTCGGTGCTGATCGAGGTGATTACGTTGTAGGACACGTCGAGATGAATGAGGGTCGGCTGGACGCCTATGTTCGGGATCGCGTGTATAATGTTATTGTTTAGCTGGAGCAGTTTGAGAGGCGAGGTTACGTTTATCTTGAATTTGGAATCGGAAAGCATGTTGTGGCCGAGATAGAGCGTGTGCAGATACGGAAACTGGAAGAAATTTTTGGGCAGTTTGAAGAGAATGTTGCGCGTGAGATCCAGTACTTTCAGGTAATGCTGATTGGCGAAAAGTGCCTCGTCGAATTCAAGAAGCCAATTGTCACATAGATAGATGGCGACGAGCTTCTTGTAAGAATGCAGAGTATCGTTACTCAAGATTATCGGGTACATTTTCCCGATAACATTGAGCACCTAGCAAACAGAGGAGGAACGTCAGGAGTGTTATCAGAGATGAAACGTACACAGGGTGGGTGATTTTAATTTATCCACGCGTATAGCTTTTGAACAATGCATTTTAGAATATTTCTTACAAAAGTTTTTTTACTTTGAGAAGAATATAAGATTCGAGGAAATTTTATTACAATATTATTTATAACTTATAAATCATAATTTCATAATTATAGTAAAAAAATAAAAAATAAAATGGAGTCTCACGGATTTCTACAACTCGTTACAAATTTTTCTATTTTATGCGAATTATAGATAAGATTAAAAAAATCCTCACAATTATATATATATATATATTGTAGGCGAATTATTATTCTACCGATATTCATTTATATACACGCGTGAGCGGCGAATTACGTTTCCTCTCCCCCCCTGGCGGCGCTGCGTAAGAAAGAAGGGAGAAGGTTAAGAGGTCAGTTCCTCGCAGAGTGCGAGCCGTCGTGCGTGTCCTATCGAGTACAGTTTAACCTAATAAAGATCCTTTGTTAAGATCCACTAGAAGCCTTATTAGAATTACGCCCTGACATCATCTAAAACTATCCTGACACCACCTACAACTTCAGAAGTGGGATCGAAGAAGAAGTTAGCGAAGGATCCGTGAGGTTAATACACGCACGAGAGATACACGGGACTTTGAAAAGTACGACCAAGTGTTGTGGTCGATGCAGAGAAAACCGTGTCTTGTGTTACTCGAGTAAAAAGACAGAATATTCCGCGCTGTGTGCCACGAATATTTTGAAGGCTATTCGCGCTGTGTGCCGCGAATCTTTGCTCGTTGTAAAAGACAGAATATTCCGCGCTGTGTGCCACGAATATTTTGAAGGTTATTCGCGCTGTGTGCCGCGAATCTTTGCTCGTGCTAAAAGACAGAATATTCCGCGCTGTGTGCCACGAATATTTTGAAGGTTATTCGCGCTGTGTGCCGCGAATCTTTGCTCGTGCTAAAAGACAGAATATTCCGCGCTGTGTGCCACGAATATTTTGAAGGTTATTCGCGCTGTGTGCCGCGAATCTTTGCTCGTGCTAAAAGACAGAATATTCCGCGCTGTGTGCCACGAATATTTTGAAGGTTATTCGCGCTGTGTGCCGCGAATCTTTGCTGCGTGCAAAAAGACAGAATATTCCGCGCTGTGTGCCACGAATATTTTGACGGTTATTCGCGCTGTGTGCCGCGAATCTTTGCTGCGTGCTAAAAGACAGAATATTCCGCGCTGTGTGCCACGAATATTTTGACGGTTATTCGCGCTGTGTGCCGCGAATCTTTGCTGCGTGCTAAAAGACAGAATATTCCGCGCTGTGTGCCACGAATATTTTGAAGGTTATTTGCGCTGTGTGCCGCGAATCTTTGCTGCGTGCTAAAAGACAGAATATTCCGCGCTGTGTGCCACGAATATTTTGACGGTTATTCGCGCTGTGTGCCGCGAATCTTTGCTGCGTGCTGAAAGACCGAATATTCCGCGCTGTGTGCCACGAATATTTTGATGGTAATTCGCGCTGTGTGCCGCGAATCTTTGCTGCGTGCTAATTGTTCCGCCGCGTACGAGAGAAAGCGAGTCCACGTATCGCGCGCGGTGAATCGACGTGTAACGCGATATCCTTGTGAGATAGAATATTCCGCGCTGTGTGTCGCGAATATTTTGACGGTAATTCGCGCTGTGTGCCGCGAATCTTTGCTGCGTGCTAAAAGACAGAATATTCCGCGCTGTGTGCCACGAATATTTTGACGGTAATTCGCGCTGTGTGCCGCGAATCTTTGCTGCGTGCTGAAAGACCGAATATTCCGCGCTGTGTGTCGCGAATATTTTGACGGTTATTCGCGCTGTGTGCCGCGAATCTTTGATAGCGACTGAAAGTATAGAGGAACACCTAAATATTTTGAAAGATGTATTTGAAATAGTGCGACGATACCGGTTGCAGTTTAGACTCGATAAATGTTTCTTTGTCCGAACGGAAATTGTATATCTTGGATATATTTACTTAATACGTTTTGTTCCTATACGTACGACCGAGACGGTCGTAATGTCAGGCTGGCCGACTGTAGGCGAATTATTATTCTACCGATATTCATTTATATACACGCGTGAGCGGCGAATTACGTTTCCTCTCCCCCCCTGGCGGCGCTGCGTAAGAAAGAAGGGAGAAGGTTAAGAGGTCAGTTCCTCGCAGAGTGCGAGCCGTCGTGCGTGTCCTATCGAGTACAGTTTAACCTAATAAAGATCCTTTGTTAAGATCCACTAGAAGCCTTATTAGAATTACGCCCTGACATCATCTAAAACTATCCTGACACCACCTACAATATATATATATATATATGCAGAAAATATTCTTTTATAATGGTAAAAATATACATACCAATTATTTTATTGCAATTTTAAATAAAATATATTTAAACGACAATCTCACCTGTATGTCCTGTATATATATATATGTATATATCGTCTCGACCAGAAACGCAGATGGTTCCTCGAAAAAAAAGTAAAAAAAAATTAGTTAAATTTTGCAGAAAAAATGTAACAGAAGCGATGCATGAAGGTAGAAAGGAAACTCATCTTTAATATACATGTACTCGTGTTAATTCTGTCGTATGACCTTCCGGAGTTCGCGTGTGCGCTCGCCATCGTAAATTTTCCGCGCTTTAAAGCAAATTCAAAGCGAAATGCGCAATCTAGCCACGTCAGTCGCGAACGGAGATATCGTGTTTCCTTAATTGTGGCCTGTTCTGTGTTTACCACGTCTCGCCACGAACACTTAACTCGCCCACGAGGAGATCGCGAATTATATTTGCACCCAGACCGGTGTCGTCGTCGGCTCACTTATATCCTCGTTCGTCTTCTCGCCGAGCTTCCTTGTTTTAGTCCAGTAAAATTAGACTTTTACTTCAAACAAATTATAATCAAACTGAATTTTTGTGGAGACCTTATTTATTTCGATATTCTAATGAAATCCTGAAAAGTATATACTCTTAATTTCAGCCAGGACGTTTTTTCATGGCGGATGAAAAGGGATAAATTGTAGTTTTTTGCCATTATCTCGAAAACTATCAATTTTTCGAGATAAATAGTTATTATTAAAATTGTAGCTTATAAAATTCCCTACAAAAAAGTCATACTTGTTTCCGTGAAATTAATCGTTTTGAAGATATAGAGCAAATTAAGTCTGAAAGAAAATGTACACATTACTACTTTGTAAGAGGTGCAGAAAAATTATATTAGAAATATTGCAACTTTATCGCACGTTTTACTCAAAAACGATTAGTTGTACGAAAAAAAGTATAATGATCTTTTTTGTAGAGAATTTTCCGAGCTACAATTTTGATAATAACAATTTTTCTTGAAAAGTTGATAATTTTTGAGATAAATACAAAAGACTATTAATTTCTTTCCCATAAAAAATGCTCTGGCTGATATTAAAAGTACTTTTGAGGATTTTATTAAAACATCAAAATTTCGACGTTATTTATAAATAAAGGTCTATTGTTATTTATTAATAAAGGTCTCCACAAAAATTCAACCTGATTAGAATTTTTTTGAAGTTTTGCCCTTTTCCAGTCTAATTTTACTGAGCTATAGTTTTGCGTAGAAGCGCGCGATTAATACAAATTGGAGGTAAAAATAAAACGCGCGTAGAAATATATACGATAAATGACCGGCTAAATGAGTGTATCGTGTTGTAGTTTTTTTCTTTCATCAAATATACATTGTGTAGAGATCTATTTTTAGATAATATTGTCCCGGATGTCTCGGCCAACGCACGCAAAAAATATACACAATATGTCAAAATTAATTTCGCGTATTATTTTTTTCTTTCTTCTTTTCATAACGTTTCATTCGCAGATAAATTATGTTTTATTACTATATAATTTTACAAATTTGCAAAAGCAACGAAACAATTAGATCTGATTGATATAATACAGAGTAAAGTATATTATTTGTAGCTTTATATATTTTCTGTCAAATTCATTGTCAAAAATTATAATCGCAATTTATCACACGAAACATATTTCATCAATCAAATATGCTTTTTTAAAATTAAATTTTATTTATTTTATTTTTTATTAAATAGAATTAATAAAGGTATAATAAACAAAAATAATTATTTCTAATGATGATTTTTCGTATGTTTATCAATTCTATTGTTTATCACATTTCTTCTTTTCTTTAAAATTTATTATTCGTTCTTATACTAAAATATTGCTATAAAAAACATCCAGAATATTTCATCTATTTACACATGTATATTATTTAAAATTTTACCTTCTATTCTACATCATTATGCAGATGTTTCATTGTCAATATTTTCATCATACTTTCTGATATTATACGCTTAATATTTCTTTCTGATATTCGCGTCTCGGTAAAATATTTCTAAGTGACTAAGTGAAATCTGAAAACGGTAGTTCAAGGAAACAAACGTTCTGTCAACGAAAATGCATTCACGATCCGACGAAAAATCGCTTTAAATACACGAACAAAAAGGTGTCAAATCGTAGGTCCTGCATCCTCATCATTTTTTAAAATGAACTTTTTAACAAAAATCAATTTCTCACGTCATTCTATGAAAATAAAACTTTATATTAATAAATATATTAATAATATTAATAATTTATATATAAATAAATTCTATTTATTTATCTGTAAATCTATTTATTTATTGTATATGTAATTAAAAATTCTATTCTGCATCGTTACGCAGATGTTTTATTGTTAAAACATAGTATAATATAGATTAAACATACAGATAAAAAATAAAAGTAAGATAGATTTAAATGTGAATGTGAGCACATGCAAAATGCATACACAACGCATATATAGATATAAATTAGCATTATTTGATACATTTCTTCTTTTCTCTAAAATTTATATTCTTCATGCTTATACCTACTAAATTATTGCTAGAAATATTGCTAGAAATTGCCTATAAAAATTTTGAGTGATATTAAAATATGAATTTGATGCATGTGCGTGCATACGAGAAAAAGTTATTTCATTTTATATAACAAATATTTCAAGTATTAAGCTATTAAATGTA